ATTTTGTTGTGAAATGTACTTAAGTTTCCTCATATTAAGCATACCGGGTATAAAATATATTTCATAAGCATATAATTAAACTAGGTTGATTCCCCATACAAACTTTCATACCCATTTTCACCTCTTTAAGGGATGATTTCCGGGATAAAAAGTATCCTATGTCCTCCCCAGGGTCTTAAACTATCTTCTTACCAAATTTTATCTAAATCGGTTCAGTAGATCCAGAGATTACCCCCTACAACGTCACAAACTTACAAACTCGCAAACTTTACCTCTTTAAAAAATAAAAATACCGCATAAAATAGAAGCGACAAATATTTTTTTTTAATTTTATGTATCTTTGTCTCGCGCATCATACGCTGAAGTGTTTTAAAAAAGCTAGGTATATTTCGTTATTTATATCGTAACAAGTTTCTCAGGCAACCTAAACTTTACGAGTATATTCGTTAAGTAAATATTATATTAAGAACACTGTGTAAGCGTGCGGTCATAAACCGTTCTAGTTAACAAAAATATTCAAATACAATGTATACGAACAGCATATAATATAAATTCCTCCTTTTTTAGGTTTCCGCAGGCAAAAGGCAAAAACGATGCCTTCTAATTGCTTATATCTAAATGTTTATGTTTTCGTCATGTTCCTCTCTCTTAAGCTATTGGACAAAAGGTACATATAATGGCTGAAATATGATGAGTAGGTATGTCGTGTTAAATGATAGATAATTTTGTAGTAAAATTAAAAAAAATAAACAAAACTTCATACATGTTACTGAGGGATGAAAAACAAATTTTGTTTACATTAACTTGTGGGGTAAAACTTTTAAGTGACTTTTTTGTTCAGGCCTATAACTGTTAAGCTACGTGCTTATAAAATTATAAGGCCACACATCATTAGGTCACCTAACTCTACGTAGTACGTATCTATGTATTAAATTATAACTTTTTATATAAAAATAAGTTTGGAGAAACAGAGTGTGATAGTACAAACAAAAAGAGAGATAGAGAGAGTGGGAGACTGTTCTGTTAAGACAAATAAGATCTGAGACGCAATACCATAATTGCACGACGATGAAATAACAATACCTAAAATTATTACAGAAATAAACTGAAACTTAATAAAAGGAAAGAAAGAGACGATAATTAGGAAAGACAAACAATAATAGTATCATTCAAAATGAGAGATAAAATACCGGGCCTTACTTACTTTATTTAGAATCAAAATCTAAGTGATTTAGATTAAATTGTAATTAGAGAATAAAGAGCCTGACGAATATAAAATATCAAAGAGAGATCATATGATTGGCACTCACGAGCCCGCGAGGGAAATAGCGCCAACATAATAATAATATAAGGAATTTCTTGTGACATCAAGCATCAAATTGACAGCAGTTTATTTTTTTTTATTTAAGGATTATATTAGATACGTGACATTCATATTATAACTATAATCTATTTTAATATTATATTATAAAGAGGAAAAATTTGTTTTTTGTTTGTTTCATGAACGAATTAACCACTGACCAGACATATAAGCGGACGTACCTTTAACGGTCATGTCAGTAACCAGGGAATTTTAGCCTAGGTCGTTTGTTTTTTGTGTCAGTCTGAAGCACTTACTTGTCAACAAAACATCTCCCAAAAATGACTAAATGTTCTGTTAATTGTGTAAAAACTATAACGGCGGAAGCAGCACTATTTCTTTTCACTTGTAAATACATTATTTTATTACATTTATTGTTATTTATCACAAAATTTAATTAAATGTAAAATAAAATGTCATATTATCCAACTATGTTAAATATAGTCGATATTTCTATGTATTGTTGACATCTGACAACCATCATAAGCGGGCTGGATTATACCATTCAGAACAAATGACAAAACTGTCGAATGAGTCCATTTGACATCGACTAGTGCTTGACAATGTCGAAAAATATATCGATATTTGACGAAATAACTGAACGAATTGTGTTATTTGTACAGTACAATAACATATAAAAACTTTTTAACAAAAAAATAAAAACCGACTTCAAACAAAAGCACTAAAAAGTAAAAAATAACTGATTGGTAGTTTCCATTTACTATACATACCTAATCAAATATTTTCGAAGTCGGTGTGCTTTGCTTTGTATGGGCTGGCACCGATTTAGAAAATATTTGATTAGGTATGTATTTAATAGGTAAGCTTTAATTACTTAGCCAAAGCACACCGACTTCGAAAATATTTGATTAGGTATGTATAGTAAATGGAAACTACCAATCAGTTATTTATTACTTTTTAGTGCTTTTGGTTTGAAGTCGGTTTTTATTTTTTTTGTTAAAAAGTTTTTTATTTTTCCCTTTTTAGTGTAGACAGTAGTAGCAAAGTAAGGATTCTAACGTGTTAGGCTTGTGAAATCAAACAAAGTAAGCCCAAACTCAAAGTATCTACTATTAGCCGTTGAAGAGTTCCACATATCCACCTTCTGACCTTGCCATCAGATCAGGTCAATAACACCGAACCACTGTACTATCAAAGGAAATAGAAATACTTGCAAAGTTTCAAGTCAATATGACAATTAGAAGTAGGTTAAATTCATCATTAGTTGTTTTTCCACCCTTTAGGGGTGGTATTTTTTTTTTTGAAATTTAAATGGGACCAATCTGGAAGTATACCCTTTCAAACAAAACAAAAATTGTCCAAATCGGTTAATAAATGACGGAGTTCTGAGGTAACAAACATAAAAAAAAACATACAGTCGAATTGAGAACCTCCTCCTTTTTGAAGTCGGTTGAAAATACTTTTATCACAGTATCCCACAATCTGATGACAATAAATTTATAAAAATATTTTCTAAATCAAATAAAAATATAAATGCAAAAATTATAATTAGTATATATATATATATATATATATATATATATATATATATATATATATATGTGTACTTAATTTTTTATTTTATACCACATTTATATACTTTGGAATATTATTCCCTTGTAATAATAATAAAGATCATTTTATTTCAACACATAAATTACACAAAATCAAACAATAATGTTTTAGCACTAAACTTCTGGGTTGGCGATTTGTAATATAAAACACTTTACCCACTTGCATTAATTATTTTACTTTCACGATCCAACACTCACTTTTTCCACAATTTGCAATCACTTTTTCTTTTTCCTAATTTCACAAATGTTTATTAATAACTGAGCAATATTAGGACAGTGTCACATTTTTATAACTACCCGAGACAATCAATTGCCAATTAAAATAGTTCAATAACAGAATTAACAAAATCACTTTATTTAATTAAATTAGCTTCATATTTTTTTTATCTTTACAAAATAATATTTTATTATATTATTAATGGAATATACACCCGATATTTCATTTGTTTATTATTAACATTATTATTGGCCAACAGAATGTTGCCATCAATGCCATCGTATTTATATAAATCAAATTAAAAAATAATTATTATTTGACACATTATTATTGCCTCTTTAATTCATTTATTTTAATTTATTATAATAAATACAGATATTTTAAATTAAAAGATGTAAAATATGATGACTATGCTAACCAATGTCTAAAATGTCATTCATTGGTTCATCGATATATGTATTTTATCGATTACGTTCAAGCACTAGAATATTGTATTGTGTATCAGTGTTTATAATAATGTAATAAAATCTTTGTGTGCGTTATGCGTCACTTGGTTGAACTAGTTTTCATACATTTGTATTTTATGTCAGGTCCAGTCTCTAATTCGTCCATGATTGTTTGTATTGAATATGGTTCTGAAACTAATAAATCGATTTGCATGAAATTTGGTAAGAAGAGGGCATAGGATAATTTTTATTCCGGAAATCATCCCTTAAGGGCTGAAAATGGGGGGTGAAAATTTACACAAGGAAGCAACCTAGGGATGAACCCGAGCGAAGCAAGGTTGAGTCGCTAGTGAAAAATAAGACAGTTGATTTTTTGTACATTACCTCTGTCAGATATAATTTATTTCTAAATATTTTATTAATAAACGTGTTGTTGAGATCAATGTAGAGAATAAGATAGTGGATAAATTGTAAAGAAAAGAAAAGTGAAAGGAAGAAAATTGATTGCAAAGCTATAAAAATGCTGTGGTAAACGTACATACAGAAGCTATGTATATACGTCATATGTATGTCACAAGTAAACTCTAGGAGGACTAAACTTGTATAAATCAGGAAGAGTTCAACATAAGTTGAGGACAAAATAAAATATGTCGTTTTTATAGCATGCGAATATTGAACCCCCTGATAGATAAATATGTACCTACTTCCGATGGACATATTAATTATTATGGTTTATGAGTAGGTATAATGAGCACTTTAAGGGTAAATATGGAGATCAATTTGGTATTCAATCTACGACTTCTACTTATTTTATTAATTAAGCAGACAGAAAGCGGTAAATTGAAAACTTTTTAAGACTTTCAGTTAAATTATTAGTAGGTATCCCATCCATTTTGTCAACGGTTACCAAATACAAGACCGTGATCTACCTACTGCTTACCAAAGTCATGGGACTACTATAGTATATACAAAACTTTGCGTGTATATATTTGTGTATGTTTATAAATCCTTCATACTAAAACGTTTATACGGATTTCGATGAAATCTGTAAATACAAATTAGGCTACTCTTAGGCACCTAGTGATGAAACCCAGGTGGAGCAAGCGAGAGAAGTCGCTTGTTGGACCTTCCGTCGATATGAGGGGGATTAGACTATATACCACCACGGTGGCAGTGCGTGTTGGAAGACATCATAAATCTTTGAAAAATTTGCTAGACCTCTCAAACATAAAGGTTTCCTCACGATGTTATCCTTCACCGTAAGGCAAGTGGTGATCATAATATCACAGGTACGAACCGGAATGGACCCGAAATCTGGACCCGGCAGTTTCCCAAGCAAGCGCGTTACCACTGAGCTACCTCTTAATCGGTTGTAAGCAATATATTATATAAACAAAACTAACCTGCAAACTTGGATGTACACCTAGCTGAAGGAGCGTGCGCACTACTGCCAGGTGTCCTTTATTAACCGCGATGTGTAATGGAGTTTGTCGTCCGCCATTACGTGCGTTGAGGTCCGCGCCGGCGGAGGCCAGGGCGCGCAGGGCTGCGGACTCGTCGCCGAAGGCCGCGTGGTGCACCGCGCGGTCGCCGTCGCGGTCCTCTGCGTCAGCTTCCGCGCCAGCTTCCACTAGTGCACGTATTACCTCCACGTGACCGTTTTGGGCTGCCGCCTGAATTGCCGCCAGTGTTAGAATAACTAAATGATGTGAAATCTGCTTTTTGTACTTTCCATTTTTTATGGTTTTCGATAATAATCGTTTACAATGAAACTATATTTTTATGGATTTAATTTGCTGTTTGGTACCCGAAGTCTCGAATGCTTTACAAATATGGTCGCAGAAAATACAAAAAGCAAAATAATACTACGAAAAAATCGAAATACATATTACTTTTAATCAATAATCAGTCAAACACTCCTTTACTTAATCTATTGAAAGCATTTACCATCTTCAATTTAAAAACGTCATACTATAACAAAATCAAAAATTAAGAACTATGACCTATGTCGAATTCATTTTGGTTTAGAATATTTTTTTTATATATACATAGAATTAGCGTAAAACAAAGACAACCATTAGCATATAAAATATTTCTAAAATAATTGGATATTCTAAATTAATCTTTGTCCTAGTATATACTAGTATTACCACCCCGCCGTACCTGCAACGCAGTATGCCCGCCATACACGCCGTTCACATCTGCCTGCGCACCGTCCCGCGCCAGTATGTCGGTGCAACGCGCCACGTCGCCGTTGGCGGCTGCCTTCACCAGTTCCTCATTCGCGTCGCCTGTTACGTGCGACTCGAACAACTTCTTCAGCAGGACGTATAGACGGTCACCTTTAATTGAAACTTTTATTATATATTAGCTCCTGGCTGTGGCTTTGTCCGTGTGTGCCTATTTACCCTGTTTTATTATCTTTTGGGGTATTTGAAGAATATGTAGAGTACATTAGAATATTATTTAACATTTTTTAACCTGATATGTGAAATCTCGATACGCGATCAAATAGAGACATTTTTCTTTTAATTTTACAGATATTTAGTTGATTTGTATTTTCGACGTCAAGGTCAATATATTTTTTTCCAGCTTACAAATTTTAACTAAATTATTTATTAATTTTATTCATAAGACGAACTAGTGAAGTTCTATAACACTTTCTAGATGTTTTTTTTAAATATACAATGTTCCGCTGTTCATTTTCAATGCTGACAAAATAATATTTTATTATAGACATAAAAAAGTTTGATCATTCTAGTACGAAGGACGAAATTTATTTCAGAGAGTTAAAGTTCACGCGAGGAGATATTATGAGTTAGACTGTTAGTTGATTGATGAAAACCAAAGGAAAACCGCATTATAATTATGATTATGTATTGCATAAGTGAGAAAATATAATCAAAATATTACAAAGCAGAACAAATATACTTAAAAGGCATTTATAACTTTACCGGTATCAGTCCCACCAATGAATTCAACAAAATAACTTTAGAAATAACTGTTTAAGTTTCTACATCACAATTTAAACAAAAATGATAACAGAGGAAAAACGAATCAACGTCATAAATAAGATAGAAACATTCGTAGCAAACCACCTATCGATGTATGTCAAGGCGAAATTCAATATACCTGATGAATTTCCTGGAATGCTGCCATCGAACGACGCCACTTTAGTGACCGCATTCGGATTGTAAGTCCATGAAGTGTTGCAGACTTCTACTTTCAGATCGTTATCGTGATAAATTTGCTGCACGCGACCGATTTTGCCGAGCGTCTGTAACAAAAGTAACTAGTTTATCATCAGAACAAACACTAACTTATAACAATTTACGTAATATTTCAGAAAATGCGACAATTTATCCATATTTGCGTTTGTTCGCCCCAAAAACTGACTACAGCTAGCGACTACATATTATACAATCATCGATTTAGTAAAAGGCATTTTAAAAACTAATTCTATTTGAAAAGTCATAGTACCTTGTATGTTCTAATAGCCTTTAAAATATTAACTATAACAATTACGAATAAACTATTATTTTATTATCCAACAATAAACTAGCTTATTAGAAGAGGGAATATAATCTGCTATTAAGTACGATTTTGCTTCTTACTCTTGCTGTTAAAGAGCGCAGCTTGACCATTACGACAGTTATTAAAGCTCATTAAAAAGTTATTGTCATGCTCGACTTCATTTACTTCATACGTGATCCGCATGAGAACTATAAAAAAGCTATTATTGGATTTAAGACTTTTTAAGTTCTCATAAGTTATAACATTAAACTGAAGCGTTTTTAAAAGTTATTTACAATGAGGTAATCATAAAATATTTTTATACGTAGCCATTAGCATACGTTAAAAATTAATAAGAACTAGTTCAACGTAAGAATTTTCGCTGAGTACCACGACCAGTCAATAGATCCTCTACAATTTTATTGAAACGAAGATTTTTAAATGAAAACATTAAGTTTATACATAACCTTCAAAATGATGTATCAATCATTTTCATCAGTTTGAACAATTGAGAAATATTATTTGTGATGCCAATAAAAATATGTTGTTTAAATTTAATATGTCTACAAGTTCAGTAGAAAGAATAACAGAAACGTTGTATATTTATAGGTTTATATACTACTAGCGACTCACCCTCACTTCGCTCGGGTTCGTCCCTAGGTTGCTTCCCAATACAAACGTACATCCCCATTTTCACCCTCTTAAGGCATGATTTCCAGGATAAAAAGTATCTTATGTCCTTCCCAGAGTCTCAAGCTATCTTCTTACCAAATTTTATTTAAATCGATTCGGTAGATGCAGAGATTACCCCTTATGTCACAAACCCACAATCTCACAAACTTTACCTCTTTATAATATCAGTATAGATGTATTATTATTTAACTGCCTCGGTGGTGTAGTGGCTAGCATGTACGGCTGCACACTCGGAGGTCTTGGGTTCGAGTCCCAGGTCGGGCCAAGTTTAGTTATTGAGTCTTTCTGTATAGTAAGTCTCAGTAACAGCCCGGAGTTGGGAAGTTGGCGGTGTTTCACCCCCGTGCCTCGGAGAGCACGTAAAGCCGTCGGTCCTGCGCCTTAACTCTCACCGCGAGTGTCGAGTGGTCGTCCCACCGGAGTATGACAGTGATAGGAATAGAGAGTGCACTTGTGTCTGCGCGTACACTTGAGCACTATAATATCTCCTGCGCAGTTGGCTAATCTCAATGAGATTGGCCGCCGTAACCGGAATCGGCTATGATGTTCTATCATAGATGTATTTTGTATAAATTTATATTATATCATAAAAAATAAATTATGTTTGAGCCATAGCAGCGTATAGAGGCAAATTTGACAAATCGAAAATGTCGAAATTTGGATGGATGACAAGTGCATAGTGGATGGATAGATATCATATAATAATTCTTCATATTGTAAAGACTATATATACTTATTCAACTTACTAAACTTTATTCTTGTGTGACATAAAAATATTATTTTGAAATATATTGAATTTTTCCTCAATATTATGAAACATGTATACAAAAGTAGTAAGTTCTGAAAACCAGCGTAGTAACCTTTAAAATATCTGGTTAATATGCTGTCTTTTAAGTGCCTCTCCATCACCGAAGGTCGGCGATCATCCTCCAAAATTCTACTTTGGTCAAGGTTAGCCTGAACAGATTTTCAACCATCCCGGTCCATTGTCAGATGTTGTGGAACCAGGACATCTTCCTTCTACCAACACTTCTCTTACCCGCAACTTTGCCCGTGATAGTAGTCTGAAGCAGCTGGTAACGTTCATCACGCTAAATAGTGGTATTTCCCGCTTAATACACCGTAGCTTAGAAGTTTAAAAGAACATACTAATATTTATTTATTTTACTTAAATACTTTATTTTTATTGCACAGTAAAACACACACACAAGACACATGTGGATACACAAAAAAAGAAATACAATTAAAGAAATGTGCAGCGGCTGCCTTATCACTGAAAGCGATCTCTACATCATACGGAAAATAAAAAAAAAGCGGAAATGGTGCATAAGAGTGTACATTACTTAACCTCAATGTAAATAAACATAATAATAAGATTCTAATTTAACTATATATATTTATTATAGATAGAACTAATATTTGTATCGGAATATTTATTATATGTATATCATTGGGCATCTTACAAAGGAAGAAAAAATAAAGATAATACGCCGTGTATTACAGTAAACAGAATCCTTTTAATTTCGCTATGTCCATCTAGATGTCCATTTTTCCATGTCATAGAAATTTTACTCGAAGACGCTGAATAAGGTATGTACATTGTAGACGCTAAATACTTAAGTAGATAAAATAAGTAGATATAGGTAAGTCTCATGTAAACTGCTATGTAAATGCATTGTAAATCTAAAAATTAAAAGAAACTAAAGGGTGAAAATGTTTAAGTCCACATAAACGTATGGGAAAATATTTTATTTCACTTTTATCGTTTTCAAATTGGTATGTAAAACAACACATAAATTTAATGTTTCATGCTACGGGCGGAAACACGGCCCGGCCAACGGCCCTCGGTGTATGAGTCCGACTCGCATATCATGTCCGATTTTTTTAATAATAATGATGAGATTCAATCTTTTATTTCCACTTATATACTCGTAGACAGTAGGAGTAGTCCTAGCTACATTGAGACAAACACCTGTGTAGTCAAAAAGAAACGTACGGGCTAGTCGGGTCGAATCTTCCGTGGAGCGAATTCTTAAATAGCACAAAATATATAAATCAAGACGAACAAATTTATAAGTGACTAGCGACTTAGCTTGATTCCCAATACAAATTTTCCTCCCCATTTTTACCCCCTTAAGGGATGATTTTCGAGATAAAAAGTATGTCCTTCCCAAGGTCTCAACCATCTTACCAAATTTCATCTAAATCGGTTTAGTAGATCCAGAAATTATCCCCTACAATTTCACAAACTCACAAACTCTACCTCATTATAATCTTTATATATATAATTCTTCTGTGAGTGTGTATGTCACTGAACTTCTCTCAAACGACTGGACCGATTTTGATGAAATTTTTTGTGTGTGTTCAAGGGGATCTGGGAATGGTTTAGATTCACAATTTGAATAATAATTTTCATCAAAAAAATTATTAAAAAAAGTGTGAAATTTTCAAATTAAAGACGTGTAGACAGGACAACGTCTGTCGGGTCCGCTAGTATTAATATAGATTATTCACAACTATAACCTACGGAAGCAAGTTGATTAACACAGTTTTAAATATTATAAACAATTATACATAATAGGGATAACAAGCTGCAACATACCTAGTGTTCCCGAGAAGGAACTGTGATCGGCACGATAATGTGACTTTGAAGCAACCTATAATATGTTAAGGTTTGTTGTAACTGCTTCAGTGCTTTAGTGGCTAGCATGTAAGGGTGCAGATCCGGAGGAACTGCTGTTCGAGTCCCGGGCCAAACCAAGTTTAGTTATTGAGTTGTGACAACACCGTGCTTCAAAGAACACGTGTAGCGTCCTGTGCCTGATCTCGCACCGTCGTGTCGCATTGTCGTCCCACTGAACTTTGCGCGTAACAAGAACAGAGAGTGTACTTGTGTTTACGCACATATTTGTGCACTATAATGCCTTATGGCACAGTCATAGTGAGATTAGTCGCCATGACCGACATCGATCAGGAGGATATATTGATTATGTCAATGTTTATTACATTAATTTTTTTAAATATTATTAAAAAAAGTACATACCGGAGCCATAGCTTCGGCCCACTCGCCGTGGCCGCGTTGCAGTGCTTTAACACGCTCCTGGTCCGAGCACACCTGCACGAGGTCGCCCACCGCGAACGCGCCCCCGTGGTTTGGTGCGGACGTCGACGCGCCCACTGAGGGGTTGCACACCTACGCAAAACACAATATATGTCATAAGTTTATTAATATTGCTAGTTTTTACTTTACAGGAAGGACTACACAAAACAAATATCCCTGTTTATTTTATTATTACAACTTATTATTTTTTATTCATGATAATAGTTTTTACTCGCAACTACGCTTGCTTATGTATTAATGCAGGATATTAGCTAACTTCGATTTAAATTTCACTCAAAACCGTTGTTGAGCCATTTAAGTAAGATTTGTGACACTAGTGAAATAACTTAATCACAGACTTTCGCATTTAGAGTATTCTCGCATCGAATATGTGTACTTCTATAAAGTGTGTGTCACTAAAAACTTTTAGTATAAAAGTAATTCTACACCAAACTGCATATTGGACGCGATCAATAAACTGTTGTATCTCTATACAAAACTCGGTGGTGACACACGGACAAACAGACGGCCAGACGGACAGACGGACAGACCGACAAGAGAGAGATCTTATAAGGGTTCCTTTTTTACCTTTTGAGGTACGGAACCCTAAAAAGTGTGTATATACTGCAAAAATAAATGCATAAGATTTAATTTTTACATAGATACAGATTTATATGATAGTTTATTATGCCGTCAAAATTGCAAAATAGGTTTTACATGTCTGTACAACCAAAAACATAAATCTTATAAAAAGGCTTTATTGGGTACAAATCATATACTAAGTTTTTAGCATCACCGATAGAGGGGTTAAGATCTAAGCAGGTGTATAGTACCTAACAGTTCCTTAAATCGTCGTAGCTTTAGACAAAGAAAAGCATCTTGAGAGAAAAGTGAAGAAATAGAGAAAATTTGGCGCATCGGTAAAAACGCAAAACGCTACAGCTAGCTAATTGTATAATTAGCTAATGATTACAATACACACGAGATGTGCTCGAAATTCTTTTTAGGCCTATTTGATCAACAAGAAACATCTATTATTTAATAAACAGATTTTTACAAGCTTCTATTTAGTGTCACCTGTTCCGGCGTCTGTCTGCAATCATGTAATCAAATCTTGCAAATGAAATTTGACCACTTTCCCACAAGAAATTTCCCATTGAAAACTTCCCATTGAACTGAAGTTTGGCACACGCGTTTGGTTCTCGTGACTATGCACGATTACCTAAATACCACCATTTTTCATTCAATATGGCGAAAATTACAAAATGGCGATTTGTCATTTCCATAGTGACCCTTATGATATGGGCATTAAATGAAAGGGCTTGATGAGCGAAACATAATAAGCAAAGTGACGTCATTCCATTCATTGAAACACATTACGCAAAGTGACACCATCCGCTAGTATGGCGGACTACTAAAGATGGCGGAATATGTTTTTTAAGCAGCCCCATAATACGGTTATCAAATCAAAGGATTTGCTGAGAAGAATTGTTTTGTTATGTCAAAGAAGTATAACTTCATAAGTACACACACACACACACATTTTTTTAAAAGATATTATAAATTAAAGTTAATGATCATCATAGGCTTACTATTTCATTTGATACTACCGGGACCACATAGCGTCCTGACAAGCAATTTATTTCATAAACAATATTTAGAGGGCTAAACTGTCAATTTATATAACAAAAACAATTTTACCTTTTCTATCGATATTAGCTTAATAGCCTACAAGCCAAAACCGAACATTCAAAAACAAAAAACGAAAAATAACAATAAATGTACCTTAGTCAACACAGCGGGGTTAAATGTCCATCGATTGCCACTCTGATACGTGACCACTATGTCGTGGTCTTCGTCGATGCTGACGACCGTGCCGGTGGTGCTGAGGCACTCGAACATGCCGTCCGTCCACCCGCCGTGACCGTGCTGTAGAGACTGTACTATCTCCAAATCCAAATCAACGTTCACCTTAAAAGATTTCGTTAACATTAAAAAATATATTCTAAATGTTATACCTCGGTCTTAAATATATTATTAATACAATGGAGTTTCTAATTTTAGCGGAAAAACAACAACAAATCTATCCCACGGTAACCGTATATTTTTCCGAAATAAAAAGCCTATGTGCTATTCCAGATAATAATAGATATATAATCTATCTCTGTGCCAAATTTCATCCAGATCCGTTAAGCCATTCTAGCGTGATTGAGTATCAAACACCCAAACATCTAAACATCTAAGCTTTCAAAATAATATTATTAAGATTAAGATGAACTAAAAACGGTTTATTATTAATGGTTTAATTTTTTTATAATTCATTGAAACTTTTATTAGTTTATATAGAACTACAACCCTATATCTATCTATTGCAAAGATTTTAATACGCCAAAATATTCTGCTAGCAATCCGTTAAAAAACGCTCTAGTTACTCATAAAAATATATATCTTTTAAAAATAATTATCATCTTACTTTACGCTTCGGTCTTTTTTCAATGTACTATATCTATATTAATACAGGATGAAAGACAGAATTTTAACGACAATTTCCTAAATATTAGAGCACTTTTTGCGTGCACACTATTTGAGTATACTATAATAGTGTAAATTACACACTAGAAAAAATGAGACTTATTCTTAATTAACGACACGTTTCGCTCAATCTGTAGTGACCCTACTTGCTGTGACAGCGGTCGCAGGTTCGAGTTCCGCTGGGGGATTCATGTGTGATGAGCATGAATATTTGTACTCCAGTCATGGGTGTTTATATTTATAATATGTATGTTTTAATATTATATATGTGTATCAACTATTTGGTATCCATAACTCAAGCCTCGTAGCTTACCATGGAACTAGATTGTGCTGTGTGTTAATGTCCCAACTACATATTTAATTTAATACCCTCACTGTCCATGATAAAGATGATATATACATTATCCATACTTAATATAATAAATGTGAAAGGGTGTTTGTTCGTTTGTTTGTCTTTCTTTCACATCGAAACGGCTTGGCGGATTGGCGTGATTTTGTGTGGACATAGTTGGAGGGCTGGAGAGTAAACATAGGCTACTCTTTTCCGCGGGAAAACATGTTATAATACAATCCAAAAAAACATTTACGATTAGAATTACTTGAAACTGGTATAAATGCTCTTCAATACAATTAATTAAATACGTGTTTTAGCATTTTCCGAAATTCATCCCATAAGGGAGTAAAATAGAGGATGAAAGTCTGTATGGAACCCACCATTTTAGAGATTGTTTTTGTAGTTTTAACGCGAACGAAGCAACGGGTTCTGCTAGTACATATATACATCCAAAGCTCTATGAAACAGTGACACATAGTTCAGAATTTATGTAAAATATTATGTATAGTCATGGGAAATGTGATAATGAAGATTTAGATTCACTATTTCTTAACTTTAATATTATATTATAATTATTCACAACATAATAAAAGGAGTTGTATTTATATTGTATTATTTGTGATATCATTATTTATTTTATATTATAGATATAAAACAGTGAAATAATAATTCTTACATGATCCCCAACTTGCAAACCATGGGGTCCAGTGCGACCAGGGCCCATTTCCCCCAATAGTGGTAGGTGCTCTTTGTACACATTTTGGCCTTTAACATCATTTACCACCTGAAAACATTAAAAACATAATCAGATATATTTTTACAGTTTTTTTTTAATTTATTTGGTAGGATATCAGGACTGTTTGATAATATTATCATATTGTGTTTGACTAATTATTGAAGTTGTAATTATAATGATAAGGTTACACTCTTTACCTTTAAATCAGCCATGCCTTCAAAACCAACTCTATAAAGGTTTTTGGCACCATTGTCCCACACAACATAAGCAGCAGATCTTGGGCTAGCCGCTGACCAGTCCTGTATCTCATTGACTTTACCCCTTCTTCCATTTCCACCATCTTGATCCTCCCATTGCCAATCTACCTAAAATATGATAAAGAACATTTTAATACAATACATATACAGAATTTGAAGTTTTATGTAAAAAGCAATTTTCAATAACAGAAATTTTGTATAATAGGTATCATAATATATCAATATATTGTACATAAATATAAATATTAAGGTTCTTTATTCATAAACGACAAACATTATCACTATGTATTACCTGAATTACTAATAATTAGGTAAGGCACTTAAAATACTTTACTTTATTTCTTACCCCTCTGACAACTCTTGCTCCGGGAAAAATGCCTCTTACAGCCTGCTTCTTGCTCTTCCTCCGTGGTTCAACAAGACAGCGTTGTGCTCCTGGTGCACTGATACGATAAAATCTATGACGCAAGTGATGCTTATCCCCATGATAGCAAACAGAGCACAAGTCATAGTTGCTGCATTCAGCGCATTTCCAACGAATACCTTAACAAATATTTAATTTTAAAATATAATAAAAATTTGGGGTCCCTACTATCAAAACGAAAAAATATATTAAAAGAATTCAAAAAATAGTAGAGTCAGGGGGATGTATGAAGAGACATAGAACAAATCCATTTTTTCAATTTTTTTTGTTTCTCTGTCTGTTTGTATGTGTATATTGTACCTTATATCCCCGGTCAACATCTTACATACTTTTCATCCCGGAAAATTAAAGAGTTCCCGTGGGATAGTTAAAAAACTATAGTAACTTATACAGCTTTGTAAACAAAATCTACTGATTGGATTTAAACGAAACTTTACAATAATATAATTCATACATCAGAATAACAAATAGGCTACTTTTTATCCAGGAAAAATGTACGGTTCCCTCGGGATATATTTGTTCATGTTTGTCATATATTTGTTCATGTTTGTCAGTTCAGTAAATAAATAAATAGTTTAAGTCTGATAACTTAATATACTTTAATTAGGTTACAGCGGCAAAGCGTCCATACAAGACGTCTTATCTTAAAATTATTTTACTATAATTTTACATACATTTAATATTTTAAATGTATAAATGTTCTTTTGGAAATATATATATATAATAATAGCTTTATTTCTTTCTGCATTAATAGGTGTATAAAAATTGTATATTTTTGGAATAACTTACCTTTGCTAAAATTTCACCCTTCGCCACTGTTAGGTTATAATATATTAAAATACACATTAAAACTAATTAAAATTGAAATATAATATGCATACATAGAAATGTTTGTATTTGAAAACTTACCAAATATTGGTTGTTGACGGCATGTGTCACACATAGTACCTTCATGTTTGACACCCGTTGGTGCACTATCTACAATTCGTAAGTCATATGCTCCTGAGCATCTATAATTAGCAGCAGTGCCATTATCCCAAACTACAACAACTTCTTCTGGAGATTCAAAATTTCTTACTGTTCCTACATGTCCTTCTCCACCATCCTTAAATACAATAGACATTAAAATTAATTAAAAAACATTTCTTTTACACTATATGTAATGAAAGATTATATTTAAAGTAAAAACATTTTTTACCTGTTTACCCCATTTCCAATCAGGTCCTCGAATAACTCTTGCTCCAACACCTTCCATCATAATTCATAAATCTTGCTGCTCTAGATGAGAAGTATTGGGCTTGAAATATGTCTCAATAAATACAATTTAAATTATAAAAGTCCGTTAAGTATGTTGGATTTGATTGATATTTTTTTCTGAATATCAGCAACAGTTTGGTACCTACAGTCCTGGCTTAATAAGAGTAATTTCCTCCTAACCGATATAGGCCACGGTGCCCAATCTTACTATCGTCACGTCTCTACTTAGACGTAAATACAAGTGCAATTTCTATTCCTTTCCCTGATAATGGGACTCTTAAGGGGCGAAGTTTCGACACGTCCGGTGAGAGATCAGACGCAGGACGAACTCTCCGAGGAACAAGGTCGTTACACCAAGCACCGGCTGTCCAATTTCTGCCTGCTACTGGGAACTTCTTAACAGACCTAGAGCTCGAACTCACGACCTGCATCTGTACGTGCTCATGTTAGCCACTATACCAACAAAGCAGTTGTTGCTACTTGCTGAAAATGTCATTCACTGACTTTGACGTTTTACAGTTTTATTTACATTTGTTTTGATTGAGCACAGGTTAAATATAAAATTTACAGAAAAAATATTTAGCCTCCTTTAATTTTTATTTCACCTGTTGTGAAATCTCTTATCGTTCGACTGTTGCATCTATCACAAATTATCTGAGTAACTCGCGCGCAGACATCCCATCATACTTTCTTAAAGTACATGCATACAACAATTCACTCATATTATAATAGGTATACTAAACGTAAAGTACGGGGAAAATTTCTTGAGAGCAAGGCGCTACACATGTGATACACGTGTGTTCTATTTACATTCAGATATACACACAAAAGCAATTTATTATGATATCTCTTTTGAACCTGATTTTTTGCTTCAATTGTTTTCGCATCTTACCTGTTCAAAGTATTGTACCTGGATAATAGACCAGCTGAAGGAATAATTGAGAAGAACACAGCCTTAGCCGCTGGTCGTAGAAACATGTTTGGAGGACTTATTCCTTTTATGATGTAGGTATCCGATCCTAAGTGGGTAAAACAGGGAATTAAAGATTTTATGAAACTGTCATTCTACTCCTCCTGATTAATTTCTAAGAAATTAATTGTTAACTGACACACCGGTGTGCCCGCAGTCACGGTAATGTTATGCATACAGTATTGCAACTCAGGCCTGTCCTTGAAATAATTACCTACAGCCGAGCGGCACGTACCCACGCGACAAGGCTGCTCGCCGGCCAGTATTTTAATTTCATCTACTTAATTGAGTTTCTTTCTAATTCAGTGATTTCAAATATTATATTTTTTATTTAAAAACTATTATTAGTAGATTTAATTAAAAAATCTCAAATTATAAGGGTGGTATGTGACCCTTATTAATTTGAGATTTAAAAATATTTGCGCTTCGACTGAGACGTACGAAAAGCTTTATTGTTAAATTTAATGGTATAAAGAATCCGCATTCGGATAAAAATTTTCATTAAAAATACTTTAATTTTTATTTATAATTTAATTAATTAATTTTTATTTTTAAAACATACGATGTCTCGATACGTTTTTGTTTGACATTAGCGAAGTTACGGCAGGAATAAAATGTTTATTTTTGTATCAAATTATAAAAGTTACGTAACATAACCACCTTATACAATTTTCGTATTCAATTATACGCCTCGCCTGGCTGTCTACCGAGTGTTTACCGAACGCGACGCGCGTAGGTATAACTCGATTTCCGACCGACCGTGTATGAACATGGAATACTTTATGTAATATTACCGTGCCGCAGTCGTTGACGGATGTGAAATACACAGAAAGTGGGAATACCCATAAAATGAAAAATAAAGCAATACAAATATTGTGTATTCATTTTTGTATTCTTAAAGGAAAAGATACTTTTTCAGATTTCTATTTCGTAGTCTTTCTTCTTTAGCAGCTACAGGTGCTGCTAAGCTATGCTAAGGTAGTAAAAACTTGGAGTTTGGACCAATCACCAAAGGAAAACAGACGGCACCGCATTCTCCTTTAACTTTAGACGATGTAAATTAAAAACAAATTGTGCAGTGCCAAGGGCAAGATGCGAAAAAAATGCATGTCAGTTGTTTCCAAAAAACAAAAACTTATAGAACTTACTAACTATTATGGAACTTACTGCTGCGACATATAATGTCTTTGATGATGAAAAGTTTTAGAAATTAGAACTGGCAATATTGATTTCATCGTATGTCATTTCTGAAACCTAATTTCTGAAATATCTCCTCTGTGCTGAATGCTGATTGACTGAAATCCGAATGACAGCTGGCAGTTGGCACTGCATTTATTAATATTTGTGTATTGTGTAATAATAACAAATTATTTAAATTAAATATTTTATCCTTATGGTGATCATGTCGTACAATCGTAATAAATATGAAAAAGCTCGCAGGCGTCTTGCAGCTGTTACTTTCTTATCTAATATTTCATTAGACGGATCTTTTAAAGATACGGAATTATGTCAAATGATCGATAAAAAATCCACAAAATCAGACAAGTGTGATTGTGAACCTAAAGTTATAGACATTCAAAACCACAATCACAAAGATGTTTTGCGTAACAGTGTTCGTGTACGTACAAAAGTGCCTCAAGCTACAAGTCCGGTCCAAAAAAGTGGTGGCGATAATCATTCCTTAAGTTCTGACTCTGAGCCTGTTACAGTAACCCCTGTTAAAGGCGCCACTAATCATTTTATCCGGGACAGGTAAATTTATTTTAAAAAGCTCATGAATAAGTTGACTTCATGGGTTTACAATTTTTACAAAAACATTTCGAATTAGAATTAAAATTTATTTTCAATTAACAGGTGTTCTTCTGGCAATACCGATTTATTTAAAGAAAGACATTCATCAGTGAGGGGTAGAAAAGGTGCTGGCATTACACAAGATGATAAAAGCAGTTCAGAAAGCTTAAATTTTGGTAAAGACAATAATATTTTTTGAAACATATTATGTTCAGTTTTTAGTATTGCCAGAGCAAGTTGATGTTATAGTAATTTTCGTCATTATTTTATTTATTACTAACTGGATATTACAGGTCGCTTCAGAACAAGCAGTACCTGCATTCCAGAAAGCTCTTATAATAAAGAATTGAGATTAATAAGGTCAGCCAAAGGGGTATCATTTAAAGATGAAAGATTAGCATTTGCACCAGCAAGGGATGGTGTACCATGTGTTTTGTTTAGTACTATCCCATATTCAAAAACTATAAAGAGTGTACGGTATGTAATATAAATTATTTTTATTTATAGTTGTAGTATATGATATATATTTTCGGATGATATATATTTTTATTAATAAAAAACTTATATCATCAGATTATCTGTACAATATTTATATAAATACATTATATTTAAGTTATCTATATAAATACATTTATATTTAAGTGCATGTACTAGTGTAATATGAACTTAACAGCTATTCTTGCGTATTGTACTTACATATACTTGTTATATTTAGGATAATGCATTAACCAAAAAGTAAATAAATTATTAACATAACTAATCTCACCTCCCGCCATATAATTGCACTCCATAACTCGCGAATACAAACATTAGTAAAATAAGAAGCGTGGATACCTGTGAACACTATAAAAGTATCATTATTTTTTTGCTTAGGACAATATAACTTAATAATATTCATTGAAGATTAAGTATGTGCTATTTTAATTAAAATGAGGCAAGGTTGGTTTTAGATGTTCTCACAGTTTATTAAGTATACCTCAATATATAATTTTAAGAATTATAAATACATTTTAATTTTATTTTTTTAGATGTTTCAAATTATTTTTAATAATTAATAGATGAGATTATAATATATATAAATGTATTTAATTATACAGATCTGACTTAAGAAAAGAAGGTGTGCGCAGGCGTAATACATCAGGCCCTAGGCCATTATCAGCTATCACAGACAATGGAATGGATCCATTTGATCTTTTAGGATTGGAGAGAGAAGAAAATGGACAAGACATTTCATATTCAAAACTTCTCATACCATCCAGAATTTGTACTAGGGAACAGTATAAAAAGATGTATGAAGGAGATTTTGCTGATAAAACTACATGGAAAATCATAAATCGTCATCCACATGTTATTGCAAGGTAACCTTTGCATTTTATTAAACTTTAAATTTATGTTATTGCAGTTGATGTTTTCACTACATGTCATAAGATTCGTGCATGTGTTGTTACTTTCATGTTCATATTTTATTTGTGTTCTGTGATTTCTTTTCAAACTTGACATACATATTATGCAAAGCGCGCTCACAAAACCATCCTTTTGTAATGAAGAAAACAACAAATTTATTATAATATTTAATATCATTGAATATTTCATACAGCTTTGCCATAATGGTGTACTACATACCATCTCTCATGCCATCACTAACATTTAAATTTCAGGACTAAGTTATTGACGAGACACAAGGATAAAAAATGGTAAACAGAAAAAGATAATAATACTTTGTAATGCTAAGCTAAATAGTAATACTAATGCTAATAAGATTCACCCACATAAGTAATAATAATTTATTTCAGATTATGGTTTATACACAAAATAATATATAATATCTGTGTATTATACATTTTCACTTTTTGCAGAAAAGTTATTTATATGTAACAAAAATCTCAATCTTATTGATAGTTGAAGTAAACATGTATAGCTATAACAGTAATTAATTTGCTGCATTATTTTTTTATTTTAAATTTATTGGTATCAGAAATCATGAAGTATAATAAAATTGGTGCTCATAGTCACAGCGGTCATTTCTGAAAATAAAAATATTATTAAGATATATTTATATAAAATTTTGTAGGCTTTTTAACCGGCTGTCACTAACCCCTATAGTAATTTGGGCATTATTAAAACCTAATGTACTGATAGAAAAATTACACAAATTTAAAGCATGAGGATATTCACACAACCACTAATATGTATTTAATGCATGCTATTTCAGTACAGCTTCAGTAATGTTTTCCTTGCATGAACAAAATATTGTCATATATTTCTCAACTAATGATATATCTATTACATCATTTAGGTGCTTTTCCTATGAATCATCTCAGCGGTCCACAATAGCGGCCTCCCCACCACATTCATCTATTGAAACTAAAACATTTGATTGGGATGAAGCTGCAATAATTTCACAGAAATATGTAAGTTCTACACTAATTATAAGTTATGTTCACACATATGTATAAAAGTTAGTATTAAGAATTGTAAGTTGTAGTGCAGTGCTGAGTGCAGTTACTATGAAATACAAGGTAATTTGTACAAAAAAATGCATGTATGTAACACCATTTTCATTGGACTCAAGCTTAGCTGCCATGGAATAAAATAAAGGTCAACTAAAGAGCTTTCACATGAAATAAATATATCATAGTTAAAAGTGGGGCACAGTAATGTTAAGATAACATTACCGTGAATGAGGCCATAACTACATTATTTTTATTCTAGCACTCGCGGCGCTTATTGCTTGAACGAAAAATGCTTAAGCATATCTTAGGCAGATTAGAAATAAAACTAAAGTAGCATAGCTTAAGTAGTATATTTTCTTCTATAAACTTTTACACTGTTATTTTAATTGAAAAAAAATGGATGTTTTGTTTTAAAACTCAATCAAATCAGAACATCCATATTTGTGTATTATCTTTTAACACTTAAGTAAAATTAACGAAGTATTTATATAAGCTTTGAGTGAAAAATATCTACTGCTAAAACACAGTAAAAGTTATTAGAAGTACCTTTAGAAGAACTGCTATGCTACTGCTGAAACTACAGCTACTTTAAATATTTTTATTTAAGTATATATTCTCCTAATTCCATGACTGTCCAAATATTACAGGTTCACTACTGCCCCAATGTGCTCGATGATCCTGAACTAATTGCTGGAAAACACAGAACTCTTCTTACATTCACCTCATACATGACATCAATCATTGATTATGTCCGGCCCCAAGATTTAAAAAAGGAATTAAATGACAAGTTTAGGGAGAAATTCCCCCATATTAAGTTAACTCTGAGCAAATTAAGAAGGTAAATTCATAAGTTTCATAAACTTTTTAGGGTTTCGATCCCAAAAGAAACAAGTTACCCACCACCACCCACCTGTAAAGCCCCCTCATCTCTGTGTGTACTACATTGATCAAAAAAATACTTCTTTTATCAATGGTGTTCTACCTTTCAATAGCTCTATTTTTCGAATCCTTCTATTATAGCTAGTTGAAATTTTTACAAATGATTAGAAGTAAACAACACGTGTTTTCGTTTTTGCTCTATCATAAAATTGTAATACATATATATGTATGTTAGTATGTAATCAGGCTGGTGACTTCTACTGATATGCAATATAAGATGTTATAATGTTGGTGCTACAAAAATATATTGTGTGGTAAAATAAACTTTTTTTTTTCGCTGGGGAAACCCATATGGGGGCCGTCATAACGGGCAAGGTACTGTGAGACTCCTACTCACTAAAACCCACAGCGGAACCCGTCGCCGCAGTGCAATGGGGCGTAGCAGGATCGCTTGTGCACACACTACAACACCCCTGGTGGTAAAATAAACCTGCCTCATTGGTCTATTCCTGAGTTCGAGTCCCAGGTTGGGCCAAATATATTTATTTGTTTTTTCCATGAAGAAATACTTAATACCAACCAGGAGATTTTAAATTAGAGGTGTTACACCCTCCTGGCTTGAATAATGCATAAAACTGTCGTTCCTGCGTCTGATCACACAGGTCGTGTTTAATCATCGTGCCACCGGGGACTAAAATAAATAGAGAGTGCACTTGAGTTTGCGCGCTTAATTGTGCATTATAATATCTCTTGCATAAATGTCTAAGCTCTCAGTAAAATTAGATGCTATAACCGAAATCAGTCAGGGAGACATTATAATGTATTAATATTTTCATACAGGAACCTGGACACGCAAGTCCAACTTGCACATGATCGATTTCTTCTTCCATTAATATTTTTTTTATTTTCAGTATTAAAAAAGAAATGAGAAAGATTGCGAAACACGACACCGGAGGTATAGATTTGTTGTCTGTAGCCCAGGCGTATGTTTACTTTGAGAAACTAATTCTTGCAAATCTAATTAACAAGGATAATAGAAAACTTTGTGCCGGAGCTTGTTTGTTGCTGTCCGCCAAGCTTAACGATGTTAAAGGTGAAATGCTGAAATCACTTATCGAGGTAAATAAAATCGATATTACTTTAAAAAAAAACATGGCTGTAACTTCATGTTATGATTTTTTACCTACTTCCTATTAGGATCTTCTTAACTGAGCTTAATTTAAGATTCATGCCCAACGGAAATCTGCAAACATTTACTATTATACTACTTTAAATGACCCCAGCTAGTACTGATAATAAGAACGCGTAGAATGAGATGCTAAAGATGTATCTGAAATCTGAATTATCCCATATTATTGTAATATAATTCAATCTTTGATATTAACTATTAAAGTACAGTAAAAGTCACACACACACTCAGCAATTCTTGTATATATATATATGTATATAATCTGAATTTTGGAAACGGCTATTTTGATGAAATTTAGTATACAAGGGGTTTCGGGGGCGATAAATCGACCTAGATTAGTTTTATGTCTGGGAATACGCGTGTTTTCGAGTTTTCATGCGGTTTTGTTTCGCATTATTCCACGCAAAATATGGTCGCTAATTCGCACGCTAGGACTTAAGCATTGTGGTCGGATACAAAGTTTTTACTTTTGGTCTTTTTTATTTATTCAAATTTTTAGTTTGTTTTTTTTAATGTTTTTTTGGCCAAAAACTACGAGCGAAGCTCGGTGGCCCAGGTACTAGTATATTATACATATATATCTAAAAGCCCTATAACCGGCTATGAAATAATGTTTACAATCAGCACGTTTTTAATTTAAATTAGTGAGCTTTGTCTTCATGCACATAACCATATAAGCTCATTATAGATTCGCAATAAGCGTTTCAATTCCATTATTCCAGCGCATAGAAACAACCTTCAGAGTGAACAAGAAGGATTTATTTAAATTCGAGTTCGCCGTGCTCGTGGCCCTCGAGTTCGGTCTGCACGTGCCGCCGTACGAGGTGTTCCCGCACTACCAACGGCTGCTGCACGACTCGTGACCTTGGCGCCGCCTGGCCCTGGAGCCCTGCCTGCGCGTGTACCGCCGCCGCGCCACCTTAGTGGACAACATACGCACTAGTGCTTGGATGTAGTGCTTGGCTCACGTAGGTGCGGACAAGTGTTAGTGATGTACTGTATGTGTATAGTGAGCATAGTGATGTGCTACCAAAGTGATGTGCTGTGAATCTTTGTTTGGATTACGGTTTGGAGGTAAGAGGTGTTAAGCGAAATATTGTTTGTATAGCGTCTAGCATGTAACGTTGAATTGCAGATGAAAAGTTTATCACATTTTAGGTACTTCAATGAAATTCATCATTTTAAATTAATATAGTCATCAATTATAGCATATGCAGGATGGATTTTTGAGACGGGACGGTAAGGGCAGGTACCTTAACTGTTATAGTTACAGGAAAACGTTCCTAGAAGACCATCCATAATTTTTTGAAATATTCTGAACCAGGGTTCGAACCGATAATTATCATTGATAATTATCATGATAAATATGGGTTGATAATTATCTTTTATAAATATAATTGAAAATATTTAATTTGTAACTCTTCAAATTGTCGATCAGCTAACTGAACTCTCTCTATCAGTTCAAAAAACTTAATCAGCAAACTGAGTTAATGCAGTTGAGGAGGATGAGGATGATATTCCAATCATTAAGGAGTCTGCCTACTACATCGTCTCATACCATGACCGTACTATGAACGTATCAGGCACGGAAACAAGCGACACGGACTAATAGTAGTCCGTGTCGCACACTAGAACGTATCATTCGCGTAGCAACCACGTATCATCCGCGTTTCATATCCGTATACATAGTTCAAGTTTTCTCAGTTGTAGTAGGTCACCTGTGTTTTCGCGTGAGGCAGCCGCGTCAGGAAGAGCGAGTGAATATTTTTGTTACGAAAATCATTTCCTATACTTATACGATGGCCTGTAGAAACTTGTCCGACAGAGAATTAACAATGATAGCCATTGTTTTAGACGAGGAAGAAAGAGAATATCATCAGTCGATCACGACGTTACTAGGTTCACGTAGTTTAAAAAAAATATTTAGAAGAAAATATTATCACTAGAAAACAAGCGACAACACGTTTATAACGGGCTTAGAACGGTCATCATACGCAGTTATAACCCGTGTGCTCATCAGTCCGCGCGCACCGGTTCGGCAACGTCGCGTGCCAGGCACGGAGCGTATCGTCACCAGCAATATATTCTTGCCGACAATTATTGTTAACTTTCCATGCACGGCACGCGACGGTGTTGGTCGGTGACGGAAAGGTCTTGGTCGGTGATGGAACGGTCTAGTGGGCATACTTTCATATTTTTCAATACAAAGAATATTTTTGCCTGACACGGTCCTAGCACTGTCATGGTATGAGACGATGAGGTGGACAGATACCTTTAATTTAATTAAATAGTATCTATATAGTTGGTTAAATTTATTCTGTTTTTATTTCATAGTTTGTATATGTCAAAATAATGAAAAAATAATAATAATAAAAGATTACCGTGATTGTTAAAAGTGTATAATATTTATTCTAATGTAAATTATGATAGGCAAGTAGTCAAATACCATTACCTACACAATGATTGCTAAGTTTATATCTATTTGATAGTTATCGGATAATTATCTGATAATTATCTTGATAATTTCATACCCTGTTCTGAACTGCATTCACAGATTTTGTAAAAAATGTACAGTCAGCGAATAAAATGTACGAAATGAAAATGTATGAAACTACGGTAAGTCACAAGACCGGGATTACACGCAGGCAACAAAGAATATTTCGAGTTGATTAATTGTTTTTCCGTACAAAATGTATGGTAAAAGTTTTTGGCGATATTTGTCATTTCTTGTATGAGACCTTAACTAGTCCCATAGTCTTTTGATCCCTACATAAAATAGGATCGATTGGCATACATTTTTTTTTGGTATTTTAGCATTTTATTCACCGAGTGTAATTTTTTCCAAAATCTGTGAATGGATCAGAATATCTGAGAAAGTTATGGATGGTCTCCTAGGAACGTTTTTCTGTAACTTTAACAGTTAAGGTACCTGCCCTTACTGTCCCGTCTCAAAAATCCACCCTGTATAGTATTTGTTAATTTTCCTATGTCTTTAACCGAATTGCCATTTGATTTGCAATTTTTTTTGATTTGCGATTGATTATCTTTTTATAAGAGAATTATTTTTTGATATGTTAAAAATACGATACTTTCGATAACTACTTAAGTGTCGACCCTTCATTGTTTTTAAACAGATAAACTCAGACTCACCACACAGAAAACGTCCCACATTTGTACCATTCTTGTCATTTATTAAAACCTTAATTGATGCTTTTTAAGATAGACTTCCTTCATGCCTCAACCTTCATAAATATACGTTATATACTTATGGCGCCACCACGGTTGTAAAATCGCAATGAGGTTTTCCATAATATTGTAATTGATTATAAATTAACTGTAAATGGAAGGTATAACATTCTTAAATAATAATTTTATTTCCATATTTGAATATTAAATTAATTATCTGTGGGGTACATGACGAACTTTTAAAGCAATTCTTAAATTCTTTGCAAACCTCCTGATTTTCTCTTGTAAAAAGGGACGATAATATTAATATAATCCCTCCATAATTTAAGTAAATATTATTTTAAATTTACCCTTTAAAATAATAATTTTGTTTAAATCTTTCTGGCACAACCTGATAGTCGACATAACTGAGTTCCAATTGGTTCTATTTAGGATAAGAAAATTCCAATATGCATGATCTAAAGTGACTAGACTGAAGTTAGTTTACTTGGACCTGTGCGCATGTATAATATACCTTCTCTTGCCACCATTTAATAAAAAAACGCTTTAACTGCTACACCCTTCGACCAATAATACTAGGTACTTGTCACTAGATAACGAATCATTATCAAAGCTAAATTCTGTTCGCGCGTATACTAACGAACCAAGACAAAATCTTATAATAGTTTTATTTTCAACCTAATCAACACCATAGCACCTTCTAATAAAGTCACAAATCTTCAAATTATCATCATACACTTATGATCATTTCGTAAGTTTTATAATCTTTATTGTAAAATTAACCTTATATCAAAAAAATTTAAAGCACTTTTTCCCGTTGTTGCTTTGTGAGCTAAATCGTTATGTTTGGTTTCTGTTCGCTTCGTAAGAATTTGTGCCTGTATTGGCCGACCTTTTTTTTTTGATTCGTGGGGAAACCCTTTACGGGTGCCCGAGCGCGGAGGACGCACGGAGTACATGGGACTGTATTGGCCGACCTGGGCCAACGTTCTTAACGGATTTAAACTTGTTCAAAATTTCATTTTTATATTATTTCGTTGGTTAAATCTTAAAATATTGACTTAATCTACATGTATTTACTTACCGAAATAAAGACACTCCGTCTGAAAAAATTCTTCTTCGTGCATTATTTTTGTAACTAAATATATTATATTGCGGCATTGTGAACTGTTTTACGCTGGCAGTGTTTCAATAGACCTAATCGAAATATACGCTCACTTTGCAAGTGAGCTTATATTTACTGAGACGGATTTCTTACGCCGACCCGATATCTAGTATTATTGTTGATCAAAGCCTACATCACATGCCCTAACGGTCAATGACTGGCTTGTCAATTTAACTGGTGCAAATTGTAATTTGTTTATTGGATCGATATAGTCGTTAAGTAAAAGTGCCTGGAAATGAAGTCGAGCCAAAGTAAATATATGGGGAACAAGAAGAGAGTTAGAATAGCGTGTTTTGTCAATTGTGAGTTTTGATGTTCCGCACTACATGTTAAGAGTGTAGAGTTAAATTTATGAACTCGTGTATCTAGTCCTTGCCATCTGAAATTATTAGGTTAAGCTTGTAAAAAATAGTAAATTAATTATTAATTTGACATTTTAAATAAAATTAACCATTCTGTTTTTTTTTCAAGGATTTATTTTGATGTTTGATTCCCGTTGTCTCTCCCGTGACCATGATTGGTGTAAACTGTAAAGCATTCGAAACGTCGGGAATCAAAAATCGAAATAAATCTGCGAAAAAATCTGAAAAGATTTATTTAGTTTTACTTTAAATATAAAATATTCCCGATAAAATCTAAGAAAGATCGATAAAAGATAAATGAATAAAATTATGACCATGTTTTATTTGGTACTAGGTTTTTTATTTGATAGTGCCTACTACAATGGATGAACAATTTTAAAATCAAGTGATACGTAGCAATCCTATTGCTCATAAACTTTGCCAAAGATAGCTATAATTATGTAGATATAATGTTTATAATACATAAATCTACCTACTTTTTACGATTAGATATTGATTACGCTTAAAATAGTGAGATGAATAATCGACCAATTTACTTGGTAATGTTGGAGAATTAAGTATTATATGGCAAAATAGTATATACTTAGGAACTGTACGTTTACTATAAATTAAGATACCTATTTTTTTACACTCACACTTTTTGGGGCTATTCATAAAAAACTTTCGCAAACTCCAAAGAAGAGATGACAAAGACCATGCATTTTACGATAATCGAGTGTTATAAAATGTCACGTTTTAAGTACTACAGAGATTTTATAACTTTAAAATATGTTGATAATTTATTGTTTGGATTTTAATTTTTGTAAAATTCTCGATGAAAAATCCTCACTCTTAAGCTAATAATATTATCAAAATTTGTAAGAATTAGAAGAGGTTCATTAAAAAGGTGATAGGATTCAACGAAGGAAATATTTTGCGTGACGTATTTTATGAACAGCCCCCTTCCATAAAATATGAAGTTGCACTAATCAAGTTTAAAGGCAGCAATAACATCTTATAGAATTAAACTTACTTTCCAGATAAAGCACTTTGTAAGTATTAATTGAATATAATCTTCTCCACAGAATTATTAAAATTCAGTAAGTACTTGGTAGATAGCTAATCTTTTATTAAGCTTCTAATTAGGAACTTCTATCAATATGTCCAACTTATTTTAGTACCTATATTGAAAACCGTCATAGTGCAGCAACTTGGTATTAGTCTGACTAAAGTAGGTAATAAATCTAAGGTCGTGGGTTCTATATCTTCTACAGGGAAAGCATTTGAAGTCATATAGATATTAAACCCGCTAGGTTAGGAACAGCGCTATTATAGCAAAGAATGATTTGGGAAGTCAGTTTTCTCTCTGTCTCTCTCTGAAATAGAACATGTGTAAGGATGAATATACTTAGTTAGATACTTTCAACTGTTATTTATTATTATGAATGAAGTTCGAATTATGTACCTATGTATTGGAAAAAATAAAATAGCTCTTATTATATTAATTAGTTTCATTGTAATTACATTACATTGTAAATAAACCTGTTAAGTTTAGAAAATGTTTCAATAAATAATGTATCTGTTAAAATGTATATGGTTTTACTAAGATGACCTTTAATCTGAAATATAAAGTATTTTTTATTACTATTTACTATTTTAAGAATCTACTATGTTTTGTTATTAATTTTAGACTTCGGCCCACCGCACGCTTTGCTTAGTTTTGAAGTTGAATTTTGAAAACGTTGAAACAATATGTTTCTATAATTGCCAGAAAGAGCACCACACACAAAATCAAGTTTTTTTTTTAAATATTGTTTTATTTAAATACGACGAAGACTACTGCGACGAAGTCCAAAAGGAGGGTTGTACATTTGACCTGCAAGTATCTTACCCTGTGTTACATCGTAATTAGTTACGAAACGCCTTAACCGATTTTGATAAATTATGCGTAGTTAGATTTGTTTTGATAGCGCAGCGTGAGTGTCATAAGATACAGTCCGAGACACTTGTTTTATACTTATAACTTACTATAATCCCTTTAGTTAAATGCGGGAGTACTTTCTCCATATTATGTCATTAGATGAATACGCCATCACAGCCTTTCAAGTCCAACAGTTTAGGCTACTTTCTTATAGAATAGGTTCATTTAGTTGTTTGAAAAACTTAAATACTTACTTGGAATCTTTTTTAACATAATGCTGATTTATAATGTCAATATTTATGTCAACATTTTTATAGATACTATTGTATACGTCAGATTTTATGCTGTAAAATAAATAACGTTATTTATTTTCGAAAAAATGTATTATATAGATTCGCAAAGAACTGTGACACGCCGCGAAAGCTCTTTGGTACTAAGTGGAGTCACTCCTAAAAGCGAAAGGCTGCATTCTGCACGCGTACACTCAACAACACATTCAATAAGTGAATCGGGAGTATCTGTCGGTCGCAAGGCCAGAGGTTCTGTAAGAAAAGAAATTATTACGTCGCTTTTCGAATCAATGCTAGATAATATTGTAGAATCTTGGGAAGTGATTGTACAACGTCGATTTGACGTTCCTAGTTCAGAAGTATGTAAAACCACCAGTGAATTGCTGGGCACCAGCAAGAGAAAGAAGTCGATAGGTTTGTCTTATTAGTGTGTTTTTGGATATTTAATGAACATTTTATAAAAAAAACATTTTGACAAGATGGGCATATTTTACAGTGAAACAATCTAAAACAAAAAAGAGCCAATCTAAAATTGAACTCAGCGACAGCCCCCAGGTATTTAAAAATACAATTTTCCTACATGTAGTGACCACCCGTGACCCGATCATAGTATGTATTTCAAATAAAAAATACTAACTTGTAACTACCTACGAGTACGACTAACTAGTTATTTAACTCAAGTTATCAAAGAAGAGTTATCAAAAATCATTCCTCAGTGTTTACTTTCCTTATATCAGGAACTTTTGTTAATAATAGAATTTTTATAAACCTCTTTTTGTTCCACAAAAAGCTGTTAACTTTAAATGGTCATTTTTATGTAATTACATTATTATTATAAGTAATAAAAATTAAATTACAAAAAAACTGCGACTGCGTAAAAACGAACTAACAAGATGAAAAGAAGTTGATTTGCAGATAGTGCAATCGAATAGGTACATACATTCGTAGCAAGATTGGCAGCAAGGACAAAACGAGTTTAGTTGGTTTTTTACGCAGTCGATCTTTTTATTTTTATAACATAAATTTTTATTTACATCTTTTTATTTTTCAACAGTCACAAGATTGAGTTTTATTTTACAATTTTTACCTCAAATTTTTTTAAACATTTTTACTTTTACTATTACCGTTTAAAAGATGCATAATTTTTTTTTTTGTTAAATTGAAGGAATATATATTTTTTTTTCTTACGGATGTTGTTGTTATGTTGTAAATAGTGTATTCCCAAAAGGTTTTCAGTAAATTAAAAATGACCTGTATATATTTTTGCGATCGTATCTTAAAACCTACATTTTGATTATTCATATAACACTTATATGAAAAAAAATTAAGATACCTAAATTGGCGTCAAAAAACCGTAATTTTGATTTGACCATCAATAATTCGTCGAAATCTGTTAGGCCGTTTAGTAGTTACGAGGGAACAGGATTGGTCGTACATACATACATACATACATACAGGTCAAATTCCTTCGGGTTTAGGTGTATTCGGGTAAAAACTAAAAATAAATCAATACATGAAATAACGGTTTTTTTTATACTTTCAACTGTACCTGAACATTTAATATTTGATGTATATATTGCAGAATTAAAAGTTTTGAGAAGCGAATCTGAACAAAAATCTTGCAACAACATAAAAGAGAAGTCGCGGGCAATAGTTAAGACTAATAGATAGCTATCTTTAGATATTATTTTAAATGTTTTACCCTTACGCCCTTTAACATGCTACAGAATCTACAACAATTATGCTGGTGGTCAGTGCCAGATGAACGTGCGATAATCCATTTTAAGAATGGCAATGTTTATGAAGGAAACATTTCTATGAAATGTATGCATGGGGAGGGTCGATATCAATGGACAGATGGAACTGTTTTCTTAGTAAATAATTATATTTCTTAATATATAAGTAATTATGTATATTTAAGAAACTATTTAAATTGCATAATACACTATAAAATTTTAATAATTTGTTTTCTAATAAAAGTATTTGTAGATGTCTTTAAAATTTCATGGTAACTGACAATATAAGATTACGAAACCGACTGAAGCCCGTTTCGATTCATGTATTGCAGGGATCATTTAAAGAAAACGAAATAACAGGAAAAGGATTAATTCAATGGAAAGATGACACATGGTATGAAGGCGACTTTACGGGAAACATTCGGCATGGCAGAGGTTTATATGTTGATTCACGAAGCCAACGTTCTTACTATGGAGGATGGCATTATGGCACGAAGCATAATGACGGAAATATTTATTATAACGGAACGTTTAAAAATTCATACGACGGGGAATGGGTACATGTAAGATTTTTTTTAGAAGCTATATATACCTACATGTTTTGATTTTATAGTCAAATATTACCTATCAATTAATTATATACTTACTTCTGGATTGAAGAATGTTCGCAACGGATTTGGTTCTCGGGAGTATTGTGAATCAAGCGGTTATAAAGGCGAGTGGGATAACTATGTAAGGGAAGGGAAAGGCTTAATGATATGGCCAAACCATGATGTAAGTTATTGTAAACGTATTAGTAAATTCTCAATAATATTTTGTAGAGGAATTGGGCACGGGTGTTGTACCTACTTCAAAATTTTTTGTCAACAGTTTTACAGAGGTGAATGGAAAAATGGAGTAATGTCGGGATATGGAATTTATATTTGGGATACATATTATAATAACTCAATGTCTTGTCCCTCTATATGCGCGTATCACGGTTTTTGGCATCGTGGAAAACGTAATGGCTTTGGTGTACTAAATCTTGGCTTGGGCCTCGGTTCTTTTTATAGAGGAGAATTCGCAAATAATAAGAAAGATGGTGCAGGAAAATTTGTCACTAACAATGGGCTAATACTGCAACATAAAAGTTTATTTATCGATGACAATATTAGTCCTTTAAACCAAGAAGAAAAAGAAAAAGAATTTAATAAATTGGAGGAACGTTTATACGTTTATACGTTTGATATTTGCGATAGTTCCGTCGGACTCATTTACCATATTGAACAAGTAATTAAAAACATTGATAAACATGCAGAAATAAGGACTAAAATTGTCAATGAATTCATAGAAAATAACAAACAATTCAATATTTCGCCAGTTTTTAAGAAGGAAACCCAAGAAAATATAAATGAATTTAGTTTTGAAGATTTAATTAATTTTGAAATCAGTTCATTAAGTAAATCATTGAGATGCTATGAATCAAATTTAAAGAATATTTACTATCAATATGCTACGATATGTAATAAGGAAGAAATACATTTCACGCCAATTCTTATTCGCTTATATTTATGGCAGCTATATTTTGACTGTAATATACACTACAAAGGATTAAGTCTTGTTGAGATAGATAAATTATTTCATGAAAATCCAGAATGGTTGTCGAAGAATCCTCATAATCCGTTTGAAAAAATCTATTTCTGGCAGTTTCAACACAGCCTAATAACGGTTGCTAGTAAACTATATGCAAAAAGACAATTACCAGGGAGGAAACCAGATACTATGTTAGCAAAGGCATTCAGAATTTTTATGGAAAAAGATATTTTGCCTGGAGCTGGTCGTAAGAGAGGTGAGCAAAAAATCAATACAAATTATCTTCTACGTCAATGTTAGAGAGTGGTGTTGAGTTTGTTTAATATCTAATTTATTAAAGTTACAATTAGTCAAGCTTGTAGGGTAATACAACTTCAATCAGCTTACTAGTAATTTTAATAAGTCTGGGCGTCAACTAACTAACGAAAACTTTTCACGACTTGCAAAACCTATACCTAAATTCGAAAATCGTAAATATTTAACTCTACGTCGCGGTTTATCGCGGGTGATCATTATCATGACCCTAATTGCATTTGTATATGTAAAACTCTTTTGGGTGGTCGATTAAGTAATGGCGTATAGAGGGTAAAGGAGCATAAATCTTGAAGTACAAGCTATTGAAAAGTTCGTATTGCATAACACTGCGACATAACATAAATACTATATAGGACAAAAATAGCAGGTCCATATTAATCCTACCGCTTACTAGGTAAGTAAGACCCCTAATAAATAGAAAGATAACTGCCTCGGTGATGTAGTGGCTAGCATGTACGGTTGCACACCCGGAGGTCCTGGGTTCGAGTCCCGGGTCGGGCCAAGTTTAGTTAATGAGTCTTTCTGTATAGCAAGCCTTAGTAATAGCCCGGACTTGGGAAGTTGGCGGCGTTTCACCCCTGTGCCTCGGAGAGCACGTAAAGCCGTCGGTCCTGCGCCTTAATTCTCACTGGTCGTGTCGAGCAGTCGTCCCACCGGAGTATGAGAGTGTCAGGAATAGAGAGTGCACGTTGTGCCTGCGCGTACACTTGTGCACTATAATATCTCTTGCGCAGTTGGCTAGTCTCAATGAGATTGGCCGCAGTGGCCGGAATCGGTCAGGAGAACATCAGATAGAAAGAAAATCATGAAAGTAGCATTATTATACAGTGTATTTAGTAAACACGTTACAAACCGCGTCCGTTTTAAAAGTACCTATATACTTTTTTTTTATTTAATTATTTAAAGGAAAGCTTGTTGGAAATTATGGAAATTTCGTGCCATTAAAAAGCTTATATAAATTATATCGTAATCTCGGTGAGCCATGTAAGATACGCACGTTTCTAAGTTCAGTACGACCACCACCGCATTACTCGCAGCCGCAACCTGTACTCATGGAAGATGATAACCCTACTTTGGGAAGAAATGCTTACATATTTGGAGATGAAATTACATTTACGTCTGGTAATCGTCTTAATAATATTTTTTCTATTACCTATAACCTATACTTACCTACTAATATATAATTGTAATTTGCAGAATACATTATAGATCACATGGAGCCTAAAACGAAATCATACCAAAAATTATTTAATATTAGTAACCTGTCTACAAAAGCCATTATAAAAATATTTTCTCTAATATTCCCCCAAATTTATCATACCGAACGTATAATGGATTTAAATATAGAAGTCACATTTTTTGAGTTTTTTGAAGCGTTCATCACGTGCGTGGAAGAAAGTATACGTGTAACCAATGATGAGAATCGATTACAAGAAATATTTCCTCTGTATACTAACACTGAAACTCAAACAATACCTAAAATTAATAAAACTTAATATAAAAACTTTGCTTATCATTTATTTCATAATTATATTTTGACATGGTGTCTCACCAGGAACAAAGAAATATAATCTATATAAATGTATGTTGGTGAGCGCATAACTCAAGAATGGCTAAACCAATTCGGCTAAATTTCCTTTTCGTATGTTCCTTAGGGTCCACGGAAGGTTTTAATAAAAATAAAATATGAAAGATTAACGAAAAAAAAATTATATGGCTAACGCTGGCTAATGACTATTTATATGAACGTATCTAGCGACGAACCCGAGCGAAGCGATGGTGAGCCGCTAGTAGTTTAAATAAATGTCAATAAAACGAGCTAATAATAATTAATAATACATTTGGTATTAAAATTTGTGTAGAATTATTAAAGATAGAAAATAGATCCCAAAAATATATGTTACGGACTTAAAAAATACTCTAAGTAAAGGAAAAAATAATAATGCGCTCAATATAGTCTATGCGAATATTACTTTGGGAAAACGAGTGAAGCGGGTTCAAATCCTGGGTCTCGCACCTCCGATATTTTTATGTACGAATCATTTTCTACATGATTACGAATTACCACTTGTTTTACATCGAAGAATAAAATTGCGAAGAAACCTGCATGTCTAAGGTAGCCTGCATGTCTAAGGTGTCTAGCATGTATTCAAAAGATATATTGTGAAGTCCGCCAACCCGCACTTGGCCAGCGTGGTGAACAGTGAACTAAGTCTTACCCTTGTAGTAAAGGGAGGCCCGTGCCCAGCAGTGGAAAAGGCCTACCTTTACTAAAAAGGTTGAATACAGCCATCTGGTAAAGAATTTGTAGTGCATATTCATAAATTAGCGATGGTTATTTACATTTTTATATATATATATATATATATATATATATATATATATATATATATGATATAATCACAGAAATCTTAATAATAAGGTAATAGAAATGCCATTGCGGTCTTTTAGTACTGGGACGCGTGTCGCTGGCTTGCAGCTACCAACACATTGACAAACAATAAATACACACTATCGCTCACACATGCATTTATTATTAAGATTTCTGTGGATATTAATATAAAATAATTCGACAATTTGCGGATGTATAAATTATTTGAATCTACCCAATTGATTTCTGAAGAGAAATTATTCTAAGCCAAAAAGTACCTCTCTATGTATAAGTAAGTACTAGTTTTGTCACTTTCAATAGGTAACATGCCTACATATATTTAAAAATTGAATTGAGTAATATGTCAAATGTAGAAAATATACGTGTACGTCCATTAAATATTTTGTAAAGTTTATATATTGAGATTTTAATTTCGAGAAAATGAGGACCAAAAATCCAATGGCTAAAAAGCCGCGACAAATATTATTTTCTAAAAATACTTATGGGCCAAGAGTTAAAATTCAAAACTGGGACTTTCAAAACCATATAGAAAAGAGAGACAATTACGTGTACCGTGATCAACTTAGTAATCATCGAAGTACCTATTTACGTTGGGGAAACCAAGATCAAGGAATAGGACATACTGAAACTAGTGCTATGCTTGAGCAAGTGTTCACTAAAACCGACCCCATATATGCTTTCAAACCACTGGTTAACTTTACTTCTTATCCATGTACTGAGTAAGTACCGATAGTTCTTGCTCATAATTACAAAAACTAGTTGGCAATTTAAACGGCTAGAGAAAACAACATACCTAAACTATAACTATAAATACAGTTGTCTGTATTACGTGTTACAATTTAAAACAGCTGAAAAAGGTCCGTTAATGATCCATCGGTTCAGTGAAGTCGTTTTAGTATTTGCGAAATAGCTGCGCATATAAAGCTAATTATAATAATTTAGCTACAGCCTGTTTTCTTTGTTCATATAATATGTATGTTAAGAAAAATAGTGATTTTCACCTTTTCTTTACATTTTTCGCATAATGCAGTGTAATTGGCCGTAGGTAGAGTTACCCCGCGCGTAATTTGGTTTTAATCCTTAGCACCTAAACAAATGTATTTACTCAGTACCCCAGGAAGAAATAAACTGTTGAAAAACGCGAACTTGGCCCAGCTGCCTCCCGATTTCGGTGTCATGGATTATTCAACAACTCAGCAAGATGATTACAGAAATCCCTTCGCTACAGTAGCAAAACCGGTACGTTAGTTACTCTAGGGACGCTACGCTGATAGATCTGTACCTAGTGTATAGCTGATAGCTCTAGTAAAATATTGATTTAAACCTCGCAAGAGTAGATTCGTCACATAATTATGATACTACTTATTATTTAGTACGTACTTATTTAGTATTTTTTTTTCAGTTAACAATGTCTTCACCACCATGGTTACTTAATCGAGTGATTCGTTCAGATCTAACACACAACCATGGCACCGCACCACCCAGAGGAGACTATCAGTGCTTAGACACACATACGCCTATCGGACATATTCGACAGATGAGGCTTTTTCGTTACCAATCTTTCAACCCTGCTTCCTGCCTACAAGATTTTCCCACAGTTGATTTGTCTATTATAAAATAAAACATGTTGTCCTTAAACTTCATTTATTTATTACCTAATTTAGAAAATAATTAAAACCAAACTTGGAAAATTAACAAAATATCTAAAACAAACATTAAACACATAATTCATAACATTCCAAAATAACTTGCAAGAAATAAAAAGTTGGTAATTGCAAATATTTGGTTAAACACTTACATATTAACCACAAAAAAAAAACTAAAATAACAAAGTGGGTAAGTTACATGCATACATTTTAGAATAATCACTTTTTGGGAATATAATATCAATAATTTAAGTAGGAATCGAATCCAAACACGCGTGTAACCCAACCAATTCTTATATTAAAGAAATATAAATTGACAAACAAAATTATTTTATAAAACCTTAACCACTAAGTTATGTCCAGACCATTTTTAATTTTTATAATCTCCTAATAATCCAGCTTTAATATTTATTATGCCAGTGTCAACCAAAAGTAAAAATGCTTTGGCCTGTTCACATTAAAAATACATATATACATACATAAATATAGCTATAGCTCTCCAAAATGAAAGTAGATTAAAATCATGCCCTGCCCTCAATATTAAATCATTGGAGTAGATATATTTTGATTCATAAATAATAAACATGAAACTTTTGTATTCCCAATACATATAGGACATTCTTAACAGTAAATACTATTCAAGTTTTAGTTTTGAAATTATTTCTTAACCATTTAATATAATACACATAGTAAGGCAAATTTGAAACAGATTTTTGCACTGAAGGCTTTGAAAAATAATCATCACAAACTCAATAAATGTTTAAATTGTGAATGAGTCTATATAACATTAATATTTACTGTTTAATATATCTCAGAAAGGCAAAAAGAAAATGTTGAATTTTAAATTAAAACAATTTGTAGATATAAAAAAATCTTGGGTACAACATTATTTAAAGAAATGTAGCACCTCCCTGGACGTTTTTACTAGTTAAGCAGCAAACAAGTTCCAAAAGGTGTTTTACATATTTTGTGTTAATGCTATGTACACATTTAAATTAAACAATTTTCTATAGTCAGTAATGAAGTTAATAAATATTTAATATTGTAACAAATTGAGATCTTAACTATAATAATTATACTTTAATAGGATTATAAGAGCTAAAATATACTGTGCATGTGCTTAGTCAAATTGAATACCCTGTATACTAAAATATCTTTCTAATCTTTTATACTATAACAGTTGTAAAAGTGCGTCATTTTTAGGGAGGTGTATTGTTAGTTTCACCTATTTTGCCGCTTGATCTTTTTTGCTTATAGCTCAAATTATTTCTTCTTTCATTTGGTAATTTACAGTTTATAGATGTAGGTTAAATTTACATATTTTGACTGTTAATTATTGTAAGTTTTTCAAGCTTTCTAAAGGCTTTATGGACAAAATTGAAAAGTAAATCACATGTAAATACATACAACATAGATCTATTCACAATCCATTTTGATTTATAAGGTAAAAAAATATATTTCATTTCATTAAAACTCTTATACTATTTTTTTGATATGATATAAGGTATTTTTTTTAAATTTTAGCTTTAAATATTGGCTGAAAATTAATCTCTTCTATGTAGCAAAAAATATTTTAATATGTTTAATCGCTCATCAATTTCAGATATACGAAATAATTCAATATAGAAAACATATATTGGGACTAAATTCAAAATATTCACTTAGATTATCTTGAAAAGACACAAATTTCAAATGTAAATTAATGTAATTATAATATTTCATTTTAGTAATGAGTAATAATTATTTATTTAATAAGGAGAGCTCTTTTAAAGTAGTATACTTAAATTAAATAATTATAGTATTATCTTTAACTTTAATTATCAAAATTTTAAATAACTCATTGTTTTCTTATTAACTGCAATTATTATTTGATGGACAATCAACAAAATTATGTATTTTCATGTGACTTTAACATAATAGAAACATTATTAAATTATTAATAAAAATAAGGTGAATTATAAAATAATCAGTGTGTACGCCGTCTCTTAAATCCTTTACCTTTTTTTGTTTTCATTTTATGCTTTCGTGCTGTACTACGGCTCCCAGTTACTTCATCAGCCAGCATACCTACAGTTGTTAATTTTTTCCTCCGATTTTTCTCTGCTTTTGTTACTGGTAGACGAGTCAAGTAATTTTCTTCATATTCCGTTTTTTCTTGTTCATATTTTGATATTGAATGCTTGACATGATTCCCTGTGCTCATTTCTAGAGGTGCCTCAGAATATTCTTCACGGAGCTCTCTCATAACACTGGAATTAAGAAATTGTTTTTTCTTTCTCTCCTTGTTTTTCTTTTCACTATCACTTCGAGAAATATTATCATCAAAATGAACAGCTGCCAGTTTAGGAGGTACATAGATACTAGACTTTTCCTTTTTTTCCTTCTTATCACCACTATCTGATTCATTACTAGACTCATCCTCACTGCCATCTATCTTACTAACTAGGTTGTCAGGATTAGCATGGTAAGATTGGGGATCATCCTCAGAAGTACCAACAACTGCTGTTTTAACAAGTTTATCAATCTGATACTTCAATTTAGAATCTATTGGACGAATTTTTTCAAGAACAGTTCTTATTTCAACAAGTCTGTCAATGGAAGGGTCAGAATCAATTTTTTCTCCTGAACATTTTCTTAGTACAATATACGTTAAATTGATTAAATAACTAAGAAGCATTTGGTATTTCATTTCCAAAAAACTGAGGCCCTTGTCTGTGGAAATTTCACCGCTTTTCACACGCAATAACATATTATCAACTAATTGTGAAACCTGATGCACGTTCATATTCATTTCTTTAAACAATTTTAAAGCTTGAGGCAGGTCAGGTTGTTCCATTTCGTCTGTAGCCTGAAATTGAAGAGGCACGATTTTTATATTATCTTTTCTGTTTTAAGAATTGCTACGTTCAATAAATTACATCTATTATAAAATATCTATTCATACAAATAGCGACAGCAAAAATATTACCAAGACCAACCATACCTGAACCATGTTGCTTCTTTTCAATGCACCTTTTTTTTAACCCCGATAAACTTCCTTATGTAAGTAGGTAACTATATAAAATTTGCAAATTTATGCTTTACGTGTTAATATCATTAGCTAAGATAAAATAGTTTGTCATATTATCTTTTCAAAAAAAAACAAAACTTAAAAATCGAAGCGTTCTTGTTCAATGTATACTTCCATGCCAAACGAGAGATGATTTATGAAATTAATCCACAGATTATAGAGAGATCAGAGAATTCTTAATCATTCATAGCGAACATGAAAGCTGTCTAGTAACAGATTATAGACTAACTACCAAGAAAGGATCATTAAACATTAATCAGGAAACAGTGTCTTCTTAGTATTAATTTTATAGAAAATAAATAAAAGAACCTTACCTATTGAGATTTTAATAGTTTTAATTTAAAACATCAATCATATTTTAAAGTTTGATTTAGTATGTATAGACATGGCCAACAAAACCCATTATTTGGCGTTCGTTGGGTCGGTGTGCACTCAGCATAAGGAAAAGGTCTCTGTTTTTCTTTTTCATAATTTTACAAACAAAACATTACGACTCTCGACAAACGCGGAACGGCAACACCACTTTACACTAATGACATTGACAATCTAAAACATTAAATACATACCTAATACCTATGTCGTTTAAGACTTTAAGTAAAGCTCTTCATTTTGTTAATAATTGATCGCTTTATTTTTTATTGCAAAATGATTAATATAGATAAATTATTTTTATTTTGATAACAAAGAAAATCTGATTAGCCAATATGTTTACAGTAAGTGAATTGATATATACTTATTTATTGATATTGTTATAAAAAATACTTATTATTGTCTTTTGCAGTTTCTTTTTCAGATTTTAACATTATTAGTGAACCTTATTATTTGTAGTTATGGATTCTATGTACCAGGTGTCGCTCCGGTGGAGTTTAAGAAGGGTCAAAGAATTGAAGTAAAAGCAGTTAAAATGACCAGTATACATACGCAACTACCATATGAATATTATTCTTTACCGTTATGTATACCAAAAAATGGAACCGTTTTAGATAAATCTGAAAATTTAGGTGAAGTATTACGAGGCAATCGAATTGTCAACACGCCATATGAGGTACATATGGCTGAAAACATAAAATGCAAACTATTATGCCATAAACAGAATAATCCTATGAATTGGAGCGTTGAAGAATCTGAAAAGGTCGCTAGTCGCATTGAACATGAATATTTTGTTCATTTGTAAGTCTTTTAATTATTATTAACTTAATTTTTTTAATGCATATGTAATATTCAGTATAATACAAACTAGTATGCTTGAATTAAGTCTTTGATATTAATTAATAAGTGCAAATTCATTTTTTAGGCTGATTGATAATTTACCTGTAGCTACTAGAATCACAAATGCTGATACTTCTGAAAGGACTGTGGAACAAGGATACCGACTAGGATTCATGTCTAAAGGCAAAGCATTTATTAACAACCATTTGAAGTTACTTCTCAAGTATCACAGACATAGCCAGTAAGTCAACATATATTTTAGTATAGGGAGTCTTACTAAACATAAAGATCTTGTGTTTAATTTAGTAGAAACTAATTTTAAACAGAATTTATAAAAAATCAAGTAAATAAATTGTTATATATAATTTCAGAGATTCATATAGAGTAGTGGGTTTTGAAGTAGAGACATACTCAGTAGACAAAGATGAATTGGCATTTATCGATGGATCATGCCATTTTCCTGCTGAAAGTAAGCCTCAGCTCGTCAATGAGGACACAGGCACCAAATTATTTTTCACATATTCAGTTGAGTGGGGTGAGTCAGAAATTGAGTGGGCATCTAGATGGGATATATATTTAGGCATGAGAGATGTTCAAATACATTGGTTCTCCATCGTGAACTCTATAGTAGTTCTCTTTTTCTTATCAGGTAAATAATTTTCTAATTTTTATAATAATAAAGTAAAATTATAATGATCTAAATATATGAAATAAAAAAAATGTTGTGGCATGACATAGCAATAGCATTTAAAAATTTTAACTACTTGTTTTACTTAAAAGTTTGCTTAAAAAGAATTGCTTAAAAGTTTTTAATAAAATTGTTTTTATTGTACAAGTTACAATTTAAATATGTAAACAATGTCTACAACTTTACCTATACATTGAAATCATTTTAAATTTATACTAAATTTTGTTCAATTACTTGAATAGGGCCATTATTATAAAAATATATAAATATTTTAGTTAAAAAAAGTACTGTATAAATTTATTGAAAATATTTCATAGTTAATATCTTCATAATATGTATATTGAATGTTATTTTTAGGTATTCTAACAATGATTATGGTTCGCACTCTTAGGAGAGATATTGCTAGATATAACTCTGATGAAAGCATTGAAGATATGATAGAAGAAACAGGTTGGAAATTGGTGCATGGTGATGTTTTCAGACCACCACCTAAAAGAATGCTTTTTGCAGCAGTAATTGGGAATGGGATTCAGGTGTTCTTAATGGCACTTATTACAATCTGTAAGTTTTATTATTTATACATATATATGTATATGTGTAATATAAAAATAATAAATTTTATATTACTAAAATCAAATCAAAAAGTTCTCAATAAATACATTAATATCCTTTACATTATGTTTACTTAAATTAGTAGAAAAAGGATAAATCCTCTTGGAGTATGTAGAGAAATATAGTTACAAACATACTTCAGTAGTTTCTCTGGAATTTTATAAATGTTTTACAATAGGTTATATTTTAAAACTACTTTGTTTGTCTAACGGTTAACATGTTCAGACCAAGTGATGGTATTACTTTTTCTGTAAAGAAATTCAATTAACAGGACTTGAGAAGCCTGTGATATAAAATAAATGTTTTATAGATTACTAGCGACACACCCTCGCTTCGCTTCTGGTTCGTCCCTAGACAAACACAATTCTATCCAACGGGAACCTTACAAGTTTCCAGGATGCCTCAAAGGATATATAGCATATGTCCTTTCTCAATAAACGGAATATGTAATGCAAAAAGAATTTTTCAAATGGGATAGGAGTTCCTGAGCAGGAGGAGTCCCAAACAAACCAACTCTGCCTCTTTATAATATTAGCATGGGGTCTCATCACGAAGATGGAAAAATTAGTTCAAATAAATGTCAATAGATGACGTTACATGTATCGATTTGTTATTAAAATTGTGTTAAATTAACAAACAACAAAAATAGTAGATCCCAAAAAGGTGTATAATTGTTTTATAAAATATTCTAAGGAAAGTGAAACGAAATAATGCACCTGTAAATTAAATAAATAAAAATCACAGGTTGTTTTTGTTTAAATGTTGGATGAATTTTACAATATTTGCTATATGTTAGTTTGCACATACATGTTTATGTAATAAAATAGTTTAACTATTTGCGAATCAACGACATCTGTTATCTATTCAACCAAACAAAAATATCCCAAAGAATAGCCCAAATTAGCGCTGACCAATTTCTTTGTATGGAATGAGGCATCTGTACTAGTTTATTATTGTGTGATCTGTGATAGTAGTATAGATAAATTATATATACTTTAATCCTGCACCTGATTTCTTACCAATTATGTCGTACGTTTTATAGAGAGCACCTGTTCGCAAACAACTTTTATACTACAATAAATCCTGAGCAGTTGGCTAGCCTCCAAGTGATTAGACATGTGGCATAAAATTGGTCAAAAAATTTATTATAAAATCTTCGATCAACAATACTAATAGATAATGTGTCACATACAAAAGCAAAGCTAAATTCTGTCAGCGCGAATATGCACTTATACAGCTACATTTGTATACTAACGAACCAAGACAAAGTCCTATAATAGTTTTATTTTCATCCTAATCAACACCATAGCACCTTGTAATAAAGTCACAAATCTTCAAATTATCATATGTACCTGGGCTACCTAGCTTTGCTTGGAGTTTTTGGCCTGACATACAATTTTCTTTTTCTTTAAAAAAACTAAAAACTTGAATAAATATTAAAAAAAAAACTTTGTATGCGAGCGAGATTCGAACCTGGACACCTCTGATTGTTGATCTTGCACCTTGGCCGCTTGACCACGATGCTTATGCCCAAGCGTGCAAATAACCGACTATTTTGCGTATATTAATACAAAAGAAAACTGCATGAAAACTCGAAAACACGCTTTTTCTCAGACATAAGACTTATCTAGATCGATTTATCGCACCCGAAACCCCCGTATACTGAATTTCATAAAATCGTTGAAGCCGTTTACGAGATTCAGATTTTATATATAATAATATATATAAAGATTAATTTTATTTTATTTTATATATGGCCTAAATTAAAAGATTAAACAGTAATCGAGTTGCCAAAAATATATTTGCCAATTGTATTGTGTATTGTGCAAGCGTAATTATTGTTTTATACATTTTTAATTAATTCTCAATTTTAAGAAAAAAAATAAAAACTTGCCAAGTGCAAGTCGGACTCGCGCATGAAGGGTTTCGTACCATTATCTATAAAAATAGCAAAAAAATCATGTTTGTTGTATGGGAGCCCCCTTAAATATTTATTTTATTCTGTTTATTAGTTTTGTATTTGTTGTTATAGCGCCAACAGAAATACATCATCTGTGAAAATTTCAACTGTTTAACTATCACGGTTCATGAGATACAGCCTGGTCACAGACGAATAGACAGACGGACGGACAGCGGAGTCTTAGTAATAGGGTCTCGTTTTACTCTTTGGGTACGGAACCCTAATAAACTACTCCAAAATACTCTCTTGTGAACGCAAAGCCCGAACCATACTCGAAGCGTGCGGTTTCTCGATGACCAATCACAACGCGAGGACCTTGGGCCCTCATCAGCTGCTAGCATACCTCGATAAGCTATCTTTCTCGCACCTATGGCAACGCATAAGACTTTTTTGTAGTACTAATTTGTAAACTTTATTTACGTCTAGGAATGGTTTATAGCCGGTAAATTCGTCTGGCCATTTGCAAGTATTATTTAAAATTACTCAATAAATACGTGATTAAAATTTCAGATTGCCAACAGTATATTTTTTGGGAATTTTAATAAAGCATCTTTGGAGAGGTCTGGCAATACTTTATAACCGACAAAAACGTCTGGGGTTCTTTTTTTTGAATTATATGAAAACTAAATTAAAATATTAAACAAAAATCAAGTTGCCAAAAATATGTTTTTTTGGATATTTTTTTTGCAAATGTTATATACTGCGCAGTAACGAAATAACCGCTAAAGCTATACCAGACTCGCGGGACGGGACTCGCCAATTCACGAAATTATATTTTTTAACAATTTCAACTTACCAAAAGGACCTTCCCAAAATTCGTCGCCAGCTCTCGGAATATGTCTAGTAGTATTGTTGATCGAAGTATAAAATGTATTATTTATTTTTAACACCTCCAGGTAAATTTTTAAGAAATTAATTAAAATTCTAAGAAATTTATTTTTAACTGACACGCCGGCGTATCTGCGGTCGTGGAGGGATTATTATCTAATATTTTTTATTTTATTTTTTCAGTTATAGCTATGTTGGGAATGTTATCACCAGCCAGCCGTGGCGCTTTAATGACAGCTGCTATTTTCCTATATGTGTTTATGGGTCTGATAGCTGGATACTACTCAGCGCGCTTATATAATACTATGAAAGGAAAGCAATGGAAGCAAGCTGCATTTTTAACAGCTACTCTTTACCCAGCTATAGTATTTGGAACTTGTTTCTTTTTAAACTTTTTCATTATGGGCAAACATTCCAGTGGGGCTGTCCCATTTTCAACAATGATGTCCCTTCTGTGCCTTTGGTTTTGCATTTCATTGCCATTAGTTTATTTGGGTTACTATTTTGGATGTCGTAAACAACCATTCCAACATCCAGTCCGAACAAATTTCATTCCAAGAAAAGTACCTGAACAAGTTTGGTACATGAATACATTTGTATGGTATGTTATGACAAAATTTTTTGGTTACTATTTGTAAGTGTATTTATTTTTATATTAATACATGTGTTGGTTCTTTTTTCAGCATATTAATGGCCGGAATACTACCATTCGGAGCTGTTTTTATAGAGTTATTTTTTATTTTTAATGCTCTATGGGAAAATCAGTTTTACTATCTTTTTGGCTTTTTATTTTTAGTGTTTTGCATTTTAGTCGTCTCAGTGTCGCAGATATCAATTGTCATGGTCTATTTCCAACTGTGTGGAGAGGTAAATATTTTTACTACTGGAAGTTAGATATAAAATGAATAGTTACCAATTTTAAATATGTGAATATTTCTAGGACTATCACTGGTGGTGGAAGAGCTTTATTATATCTGGTGGATCAGCTGTGTATATTTTGATTTATTCAATATTCTATTTTTTTACAAAATTGGAAATAACAGAATTTATACCAACATTGTTATATATTGGATACACAGGTAAAAGTCTAAATTTAAACATTTAAAGAAATTACTTAACTTAATTCTGAGGATAAACAAAGCTACAATATGCTATGTTCAAGAGTATTTTTATATATTGTTTAAAGTTATTAGTCTATAATTTGATTTCAGGTCTTATGGTCTTAACATTTTGGATTTTGACTGGAACTATTGGATTCTTTGCAGCATACACATTCATAAGAAAAATTTATTCAGCAGTGAAAATTGACTAAAGATATACAAACAATAAAACAGTAGGATTTAATTTTAGTGTTAAGTGCGTGGATATAAGAGTCAGTTAACAAGATTGTGAATAGGATAATATTAATTATGGTAATCCAAACACTCACGATCTTAATTTCAGTTATTGCATGTATGTAAGTTTTATTTGCTAAGTGTGAAGATGCGAAATTTTGATGATTATTATTAAAGTTTTATTTTGTAGGCCTAATTACTCAAAAGATATTTTATGCACCCTACCTTCATATAAATAAAAACAAAATAGTAAAATTTTGTAGTTCGACTATGTTAGTGGATATTGTTATTAGTTTATGAATAACCCAGTACATAAAGCCTTTTCAATTTCAATAATAATATTCTTTAATTAATTCTGTGTTGTACATAAAAAAATCTTTTAATTATTGTAGATTTAATGTGTTGAAAGAAACCATAATGTGATTAGTGAATTTCATGGTAACTTCTATAAATAAAGCTTTAGGAAGAATAAAATTGGGCAAAATAATATTTGAAATGCGTTAATTTTTGCCATTTACTTAGATTTTATTTCAACAATAGTATAAAACTTCACTTAGGAATTCTTATTATGTTATGAATATTGATTTGTTATGTTATTAATATTGTGATTTTTTCTATACCCTATTTTTTACATTATGGAAACAAATAGAAAAGGCAACACTAACAATTATGTATTTAATCTGTGCAAAAGATGATGTCAAATCAATACTGTCAGATGTCAGTTGTCGCGATGACAACTTGACAAGAGAGATGTCATTATGCGCTGATAAATAAAATATATTTATACCTTATTATTTTTATTGCAAGTTCTAAACAGTTTATTAGTTTTTTTGTACAAAATGGAAACCAAAGTAGCAGTTGTTACAGGTAGTAATAAAGGAATAGGATTTGAAATCGTAAAAGGATTATGTAAAAAGTTAAGTGGTACGGTATATCTCACTGCTAGAAATGAAGAAAGAGGGCGGCAGGCTGTAGAAAAACTAGAAAAGTTAGGCCTTAAACCTTTATTTCACACATTAGACGTAACAAGCGAGTCGAGCATACAAGAGTTTGCTAATTTTATAGCATCACGTCATTCCGGGATTGATATTCTCGTAAATAATGCCGGTGTTTTAGATTTTGATAAATGTGTCACGTCCTATGAAGATGCCAAGAAGCTCATGGATACAAATTTCTACAGTCTTCTTACAATTTCTAGAATACTTTATCCCCTTTTATCTAACAATGCACGAATCATAAATTTGACCAGTGACTGGGGTTTGCTGTCAAACATAAGAAAGCAGAATTGGCTTGATATTCTCATAAAAGATGACCTAACAACTGATGAGATATTGCAGTTTGTAGATGATTTTTTGCTGGCTGCTAAGAATGGTAAACAGTCATATATGTCATTTGCGGGCCATTATGGCGATTATAAAGTTTCAAAAGTAGCCATGTCAGCTCTTACTTTTGTTCAGCAGAGACAGTTCATTGAACAAGGTAAAGACATATCTATAAATTGTGTTCATCCAGGTTTCGTTAAATCTGATATGTCAAAAGGAATGGGTGATTTTACTCCAGAACGAGGAGCCAAGGCTCCTCTTTATTTAGCTTTGGAAGCACCTCAATCTCTTAAAGGCACATTTTTATGGCACGACTGTCATAAAGTGAACTGGGACGATTAGAAGTTATTTATTTTACTAATGTTCTTTTAATTCTGTGATAATAGTGTCACATACACTTAAACTATAATATATGTTTTTTTAGTATCTTTTTGTTTTTATGACTTCAAAAACCTTTAGTATGTCATTTTAATCATACATTTTAATCCTAATTTTTAAATAAGGTAAAGATATGAAATAGGTATTAAAAATTACAGTTATTCTTAAATACTTTCTCAACTCTTATATTGATATATTTTTCTTTATATTATTGTATCTAAACATAGTAGCTTTATCTAAAAAGTTCAATACATAAATATATAATTTATGAGTAAAATCTAAAATTAAAGTAAAATTAGATAGAATTTGAAAAGAAAACTGAGAAGTCTTAGATAGTCTTAATTTATAGTAACTTTCAGCATATTATAACAAAGTTTTTAAATATAATTTTGAAGTCATAATACCTAATGGTATTTGCATATATCTCCCACATTTATTTTTTATTTTGCTACAATGTATATTATAATGTTAATATTTACTAGGTAACCTAATTTTCTTATGAACTCAGTTAAAATATTATATAAAACGAGAAGTTTCATAGATTCTAATACATTTTTATATAAAAAAAAACCATTTAAGGCATATCATTGGTCAAAGAATCAATGTTCTAGGTTTCAAGGAAACTTTAGTCCTTATATTCTAGATATTGACTTTTGAAACGAGTTCCTCTTTATTAAAGTAAGAAAACAAGACAAAGAGTCAAGGATGTTTAAATATGTAGATGAAATCATCCATTCTATCTCAAATCTAATTTTAACTACCAATCAATTCTTCCTCAAACATCTACAGTGAAAAATTCATTGTTTCTTATAGACTGCTCTGTCTTTCTAATAAATGTCGCTAGAAATCGTGCACGATCCGTAGATCTGTAGCAGGTGGCAGGAACTCTAGCTCGAAGTTCGTCTCGCATATAATTAATTAGATTTAAGTCTGGGCTGTGCTCTAGTAAGAATTTTAAATTTACCGTCAAAACGTTTTAACAATACCGCCAAATAGAATCTACACAAGGTAGGTGATTATTGTCTCGTAGGTATTGTGATAAAAATATCATTAAGATTTAATATTACCAAAAAAATTGATTATACTTTAGTTGGGTTCGATTTTATAGAAATTCACGTCATCATTAAATACATTTACTGATGTAGCATTATCGATATTGTTATACAGACCTTCTGCAAATGTCTCTTCTTTTATTCCCACACAATAAAATCTGCTTTGAAGCTTGGAGCGTTGGGTATAATTTCACCAATATTATTTTTTTGGGACCAGGCAGAGGCAAGATGTACCTATTATGGTCTAGGATACATCATACAGTCATCATTTCACTAACCACCAAATCAAAGTTATTAAAAAAAAAACATGTCATTCACTGCAAGAATTACGGCCCGACTCGAATAATACTTTATACCGAACCTAGGTTAGTTTAGTCTAGCTCTAAGGTCTAGGCAATATTAATGTGGGCATTGCTTGCGGTTTTTCGTATTCCGTGCTTGCTTGCTTTAATTTGTACATATCGCATATACAGATTGACGGATACGCGTTTGTTGAGACAGCGGACCCACAATCCTAGTTCAGGCATCTACATATAGGCATTTGACGACACGTTTGGCTCAGTTTGTAGTGACCCTACTTGCTGTGCCAGCGGTCGCGGGTTCGAGTCCCGCTGGGGGCATTCATTTGTGTTTTGAGCACGAATGTTTGTACTCCAGTCATGGGTGTTTATATTTATAATATGTATGTATTTAAAGTTATACATGTGTAGTGTATCAACTATCTAGTATCCATAACACAGGCCTCGTAGCTTACCATGGAACTAGATAGTGTTGTGTGTTAATGTCCCAACATATTTATTTATTTATTTATTATCTAGGGTACCTACGCGTCACTTCCACATAATTACGGATTATTGTTATCACGGTCTTTAGCGAGCCAATACGCCGGACTAGCCTGTATACTTACTGTTTACACCGCCGCGTGTCTGTGATTATATTTATTTTTAAATAATATTTTAATGACAAGGGATATTTGTAAAGAAAAGCATACTTACTGGAGAAGATATAAAAAAATTGCGCATTGATCACGCTCTTGTATATAAGTATTTTTTTTTAATTTATAAAAGCAGATAGGGTCTCGCCGGGTTTCCATATGAAATCTGCGGCTATAATTTGTTGACATTTATGCCTCTATTATCCATATCCATACTAGGTCATAGAATAATGTGATGTGTCCATACTAAAGTATAAATGTGAAAGTGTGTTTGTTTGTTTTTCTTTCATGTAGAAACAGAGTGACTAATTGGCGTGGTTTTTTGTGTTGAGATATTTGGAGGGCTGGAGAGTGGCATAGGCTACTTTATGCCGCGGGAGATTATCTCATTCTCACGGAAAACACGTTATAGTATAAACCACAACAACTCGTCATAATGTACCTATATGTATAGACAATATTATGTAGTCCATTCCATACTAACCGTTATCCATACTAATATTATAAATGTGAGAGTGTGTTTGTTTGTTTGTCTTTCTTTCACATCGAAACGGCTTGGCGGATTGGCGCGATTTTTTTTGTGGAGATAGTTGGAGGGCTGGCTTTCCCACGGGAAAAAACGTTATAATACAATCAAAAAAAATATTTATGATCAGAATTACTTGAAACTTGGTATAAATGCTTTTCAATTCAATTAATTAAATACATGTTTTAGCATTTTTTGAAATTCATCCTATATATAAGTTTGTATGAAACTAATCGAATTACCTAAATAATGCATTAATGCAAATTTTAAAATATTTTTAAGTGTTTAAATTATTTTTTCCTAAAGATTAAGGTTTCGAAAGGAGACTGTTAGGAGGAATTTGTAGAACAAATAAAAACTAAAAAAAAAAACCGACTTAAAAAAAACTAAAAAGTAAAAAATAACTAATTGGCATTTACTATAGATAAATAATCAGATATTTTCGAAGTCGGTGCCAGCCGATACGAAACAAAGCACACCAAAGTAAAAAATTAAATTAAAAATTAAAAAAACCCTCGACCATCTTGGACCTATTTTCATCAAACATACTTAAGAACACTCCCGACTAATTCAGCTTTCAAAAAAAAAAAAACAAAATCAAAATCAGTTCATCCGTCCGGGAGCTGCGATGCCACAGACACACATACACATCACGACACGTCAAATTTATTACACCCTGTCGTTTTTGCGTCGGGGGTTAAAAATAACTGATTGGTAGTTTTAATTTACTATAGATACCTTATCATATATTTTCGAAGTCGGTGTGCTTTGATTTGTGTCGGCTGGCAAATACTTCGAAAATATCTGATTAGGTATCTCTAGTAAACTACAAATCATTTTTTTTTACCTTTTAGTGATTTTTTTGAAGTCTGTTTTTATTTATGTTTTAAGTTTTTATTTTTAAGTGTAGACATAGTAGAAGCAAAGTAAGGAGAAAGTATTTTAAAAATTCAGCTGGGGAAGAGGAGTGCCGGTGTGTCGTTGCCGCTCTCCCTGTCCTCTGCAGCCGGATGTGGGGTGGCCCACTACGGTGGGGGTGAAGGTGCTAGAGGGCGGTCGACTTGGGCAGGTTGGCCGTCCAGTGTTCTGGCTGAGGAGGCCGTCAGGGGTGGTCAACCATCTCAGCCCCTGACTTTGGGACGGGCCTTAACAGGCACTCGCCGTCGGGGTCGCGGAAGATTCTTTCTGGTACCCGTGGCCCCGGCCTTAAGACGAAGGTGTCTTTGTCAGGTTTTTTAATGGGTAGGTTGCCGCGCGCTTCCATCTTTGTGCGGCAGGAGCCCCACATAACCCGTCTCGCATCCCCCATCGGCGAGCGGGTACCCGGGAACAGGGTTTTTCCTGACAGAAAAAAAAGGTACATATATTAATGTTTTTACGAGAAGGTACTTTAAATTATACAAGGGTTTAAATTGATAGTGGTAAATATTATTGTTGGTTCTCCAGTAATACAACAATACTGCATGAATCAAAAATTATTCATAATTTCCGATCTCCTAATTCATACTACATAAATTTTCTAAGTTTACATTGTTATCAAAGTCAAACTGTGGCATATTGCTAAAGAACTAAGTTAAATATTTTATAACGATAAAAAACATACGTTTAAAGATGAACTCGTGACCTCTGGCAGTGTAAGTATCTAGCTAGGCATAATGCTTACAAATATGTTTCGAAAATTGTAAAGAATTAAAAATAATGCAATTATCAATACATATTTCGATATAGTGTCAGCCTTATACAACTTATCTTTATGGACGCAGCTAAGGTAGTCTATACTCTATAGGTATATCAATTTCTATGTTGTAAATTCTTAATCTACGCTAACATTGCTATACACATATGTGTATATCCTGTGTATTATAGATTAGCAATAGCTATTAGTATGAGGTATATAAGTATAATATATATACCTAACGTACAACAATCAATCTCATTAGCGATTTCCTACTGCATTTGCAGGCTGTTGTAAGGATTCACGTGCTCTAGCCCACTTATTGTATTACAAAATCGTAAGAGGAAATGCAAAGGGGTGGAGCTTGTTTTTATACATAGTCGCTTAGCCACCTACAGGCTACAACACCTCGATTTACTAATGTTTATTTGTTTCAATTATTATTTAGTTTATTCTTAAGTACGTTTTTATATATTTTTTATTACTTAATAAGTAGTATATTAAAAGAGAGAAAAGTTATTTTTAGTGAAAGATCTCTGACTCTATTTATCTAAAAAAATATTATTTGTTTGTCTTTTTTGAACATTTTTTAAAATGCGTTTCAGTGTTATTTAAATATAGTATTATTTATCACTGGCGACTCACCTTCGCTTCGCTCGAGTTCGTCCCTAGGTTGATTCCCCATGCAAACTTTCATCCCCCTTTTCACCCCCTCAAGGGATCATTTCCGGGATAAAAGTATCCTATGTGTTTCCCAAGGTCTCAAACTATCTT